ATGTTACTGGGTTCTGTATGTGTGGATACAGAGGGGTAATGTTACTGGGTTCTGTATGTGTGGATACAGAGGGGTAATGTTACTGGGTTCTGTATGTGTGGGTACAGATGGGTAATGTTACTGGGTTCTGTATGTGTGGGTACAGATGGGTAATGTTACTGGGTTCTGTATGTGTGGGTACAGAGGGGTAATGTTACTGGGTGCTGTATGTGTGGGTACAGAGGGGTAATGTTACTGGGTTCTGTATGTGTGGGAATAGAGGGGTTACTGGGTTCTGTATGTGTGTGTACAGAGGGGTAATGTTACTGGGTGCTGTATGTGTGGGTACAGAGGGGTATTGTTACTGGGTCCTGTATATGTGGGTAATGCAGCAGGTTCCCCAGACAGAGTGGACTTACATTGAGAGCACTGGGATGAGATTCCAACTCACAGCATGTGGCTCATGTGACAATATTTTGGCAATCGTTAAACCCTCACTGGTTGTGCCATAAGCCACAGTAAGGCGTGTGCTTTTAAGGGAAGATTTCAATGCAGAGAAGGGATTAGTTTAAATATAGATTGGTTTTACATTGTTTGAAATCCCAAATCATTTTCCGATTGCATTTCAGACCTGGTGTACTTGGTTTAATGACTTAACTGCATCCACAACATAAAGAAACATTGACAAATAATTTCTCCAGTAAGAAAAATCATGGATATACACCTTTAAATATGTATTTAGAGCACTAACCATGCTTCAGACACTATCTTCATGTTTCAGGGTCTGACAAATCCACCAGACATCACCTACTTGGACCACATCGTGTGCAGTGGCAGTTGTGGGGGAACTTTCTATAATCAACCGTAAATCAATCTCAAATATGTAATGACATTATGGGATGCCAATGGTGGTGTCTGGTGACATCATCTGATCACTGTGGCCCCTAGCTGGGAATTTTCTTAGATGCTGTGTGTGACCATTGTAAATCACTGTGGAATCTGATGGCGCTATATAAAATGACAATAACAACTACAGTCTCTATGAGAATCTGTCCTATGAAAGCAAGACAGCAAACATATAGCCCAAAATGTACAAAATGTCCCCCCAAAAACCCTTTTCCTGGACAGCAACCCCACACAATATGTATCTTGGCCAGCTCTCCTTCAAGCACCAATACTGTCTAAATAGCACACTGAATCAGAGAATCCCTGCCCAAGTTATAGCATGTTATAGATTGACCAGGTTGTGGCTATTCTCTGAGCTGACTTAGAGTTCCAGGCAGGCGGCTGTTTTTCCCCGGTCTTACAAAAAAGGGTTCCTGGGCCCCGGGAAGGCCAACACCCACACATGTTATATGTCCCTGGAGAAAGCCTGGGAGAATAATTTGCTATACCTGTGCATTGAGGATACTGGGCAAACATGGATAGCTTTTGAATTACCATTAGGACAATTAACATAGTTTTAAATTAGCAGAATTCCCAAACCTAAAATACAACCTTGATCTTATCAAAATGTCTAAATTTCCATTTTTGGGGGGGCCACGTCAGTTCTAAGCAGTAGCCATGTGACACTAGAAGACCAATGGAAAATTGACTGTTTGAAAGTTTGTTTTAGTAATAGTAAGAGTTTCCGAATTTATTCGGTATTGAGACCTCTATAAGAATAAAATCACAGATGTAATTAAAGTGGCTCTGTCACCTGTCCCTAGGGTCTTTGCTCCCCCTTTAATGTACCACATAGGTGCAGTTCATTTCCTGAGCTGCTGAAATCTCAGAAATTGCGAGTGCAAGACGCCGTGTGTAATATCCTTTAGAACTACCCATGTATATATTTTAATCTAACTAGCTAGTAATTTCCTTTTAATCAAAAGACCAAATCATTGTAAATCACTGTAATAAATGTTCAAACTTGCATGTCCCGGGACTCCACAGCAACCTGGAATCTTATGCCCTCGAAGTGACACAGACTGTCAACAAAAGGTGGGCACTGTAGTGGTAATGTTACTTGTTCCTTTAGATATTCTATAGTATTTGTTAAAAAAGGATGACTAGCAAATAATTACTTTTTACCATTACTGTTCAATTAATATACACTCAAGGGAATGAATTCCAGCTGTGGGACACATTTTACATCATCTTATTATGAAGTTAAATCTGCATTTAGACAGAGTGCTGTATTTTTAGACTCTGGTTTCGGGAGGCCAAGAATGTTTAGCTGTATAATTTGTATGTACAAATAGCCTGCTGTTTACTAGGCAGGAATTTATAGATGTTCAGCCAATCGGGAAACACAAAATTGGACCATTCAAAGTCAAAATAATCTCTACGCCCAAAAATCAGCTATTCAGAGGAAGGTCTCACTCACTTGTCTAGCTTTTGAAACAATAAATATTTCGTTTTTTTCTTAAATCAACGGGGGAAGACGTCAAGTAAAGAAAGTTGTTGATCACATTTCTTCATTTGCATTCTGTATATTAGAGGGCAATTTGGAGCTATAACAGAAGGTTAGATTATTCCTGAGGCCCTGCAGGACATATGAATTGCTAGGTATTTCTGTGGAACATTCTGTATCTATTACAGGTTCACTAAATCCAAACTGGATTATTATTCACTTAATCCAAACAGGATTGTTATTCACTTAATCCAAACAGGGTTATTATTCACTTAATCCAAACAAGGTTATTATTCACTAAATCCAAACAGGGTTAATATTTACTAAATTCAAACAGGGTTATTATTTCTTAAATACAATCAGGATTAATATACACTCAATCCAAACAGGGTTATTATACACTCAATCCAAACGGGGTTATTATACACTCAATCCAAACAGGGTTATTATACACTAAATACAAACAAGGTTATTATTCACTAATTCCAAACAGGGTTATTATTCACTAATTACAAACAAGGTTATTATTCACTAAATCCAAACAGGGTTATTATTTACTAAATACAAACAGGGTTATTATTTACTAAATACAAACAAGTTTATTAGTCATTAATTACAAACAGGGTTATTATTTTCTAAATCCAAACAGGTTTATTATTCACTAAATCCAAACAGGGTTATTATTCACTAAATCCAAAAAGGGTTATTATTTCTTAAATACAATCAGGATTAATATACACTCAATCCAAACAGGGTTATTATACACTAAATACAAACAAGGTTATTATTCACTAATTCCAAACAGGGTTATTATACACTCAATCCAAACAGGATTAATATACACTCAATCCAAACAGGGTTATTATACACTCAATCCAAACAGGGTTATTATACACTCAATCCAAACAGGGTTACTATACACTCAATCCAAACGGGGTTATTATACACTCAATCCAAACGGGGTTATTATACACTAAATACAAACAAGGTTATTATTCACTTAATCCAAACAGGGTTATTATTCACTAAATCCAAACAGGGTTATTATTTACTAAATACAAACAGGGTTATTATTTACTAAATACAAACAGGGTTATTATTCACTAAATCCAAACAGGGTTATTATTTACTAAATACAAACAGGGCTATTATTTACTAAATACAAACAGGGTTATTATTTACTTAATACAAACAAGGCTATTATTCACTAATTACAAACAGGGTTATTATTCACTAATTACAAACAAGGTTATTATTCACTAAATGCAAACAGGGTTATTATTTACTAATTACAAACAGGGCTATTATTCACTAAATCCAAACAGGGTTATTATTCACTCAATCCAAACAGGGTTATTATTTACTAAATACAAACAAGTTTATTATTCACTAATTACAAACAGGGTTATTATTTTCTAAATCCAAACAGGGTTATTATTCACTAAATCCAAACAGGGTTATTATTCACTAAATCCAAACAGGTTTATTATTTACTAATTACAAACAGGGTTATTATTTACTAATTACAAACAGGGTTATTATTCACTAAATCCAAACAGGGTTATTATTTACTAATTACAAACGGGTTATTATTTACTTAATACAAACAAGGCTATTATTCACTAATTACAAACAGGGTTATTATTCACTAAATACAAACAGGGTTATTATTCACTAAATCCAAACAGGGTTATTATTTACTAATTACAAACAGGGTTATTATTTACTTAATACAAACAGGGCCATTCAGGCTGCAGTTCAGCAATGTTTGGATTTTGCAATTCAGGCTCCTAATGTGCCTGAATTATGTCTGGATTTCAATCAACTAATGGCTAAAATCCAGACACGACTGCTTCAAATCTGGCCCCAGATTTAAAAAAAATTTTTTTAAAAATGTAAACGCTCGGCAGTGCAAGGGTCATTTATATGAAGGCTGTCCTCCACTTGCTGAAATTTCCTGATTGGTAGGTTTAGCCAGTGCTAACTTTTTTTAATAGGATTGGGCTAGGGGATTGGGGACCCCTTGCAATTCAGAGAAGGTAGGGAGTGGCAATACTGCTAATTGTGAGTAGGGTGTGCACAACAATATTATCACAACTAAGTGTGATGATAGAGGTGCTTAGCTGATACCCTCAGTGGTTACACCGAAAAACTACAAATTTGAAAATAACAAAAGAATCCATGGAAAACAGTTTAGGTGATCCCACACCTAATTTGGCTAGTGCAAATCTAAAAAAAATTATAACTTACCCTTTTAAACGTTATTTAGGGGTTAATAATTATCATTCAAAAAATAAGGAAACAATCATTTGTAAGTTTAAATTAATAAACTTGGGGGAGGAGCCTGACTCCTGAACTAAACAGACATGCTTTGTAAGAGCTCCTGCAGCAGTTGATGAATCCCCGATGATATCTCGGGTTGCCGGGCTGGGAGCTTCGAGCTGAGCTGATACCTACTTAGGGGGCATCCTGCTGAATAGTTTGAGACCTCTCTCGGGACCCCCGGCTACCGGACACCGCAGCGGCAGTTTGAGGCCTACCAACTTGAGAGGGGGAGGTAAGGCAGACTTCCCCACTCCACTCACCCTACAAAGCAAAACTCCTACTCTCCCGGACAGGCCATAGTAAACTCCAAGCGCCTACCGCCAGTTCTGCAGCAACCACCCTCCACAAGATGGCAGCTGCCAATGCCTCTGGGGTACAAGGCCGAGAGCGGTCCCGGGGCGATCAGCCAAACCACGTGGCACAGAAGCCTGACACATACCCTCATAGCTCCGTGGACCGACTCTTACAGAGACTTGATGAGCATTTCCAGCGCTTCTGGGATGCTCTGAAAAAAAGGCAGAGCTCCGTTACCACCCCAAACACGAATGGATGATCGTAAGAGTGGGGGTGGTGGGGCATGGAGAGCTCCCTTGGACCTAACAGTTACTCACAGGCCTGTCTGTCCTACTACTGGCCTACTCGGGCTGAGGGTCACCATGGGCTTGACAATCGAGACATTCCCACACTGGGCATAGGTTGAAGTACCTATCACCCTGCCCTAAGATGACAGGCCTAAAATTGATCCATTTCCCGGCTATTACCAGATAATGCCAGAATACCCAGATACCTTGTTGGGTCTGTAGTCCAAGTATCACTTTTTCTCTGGTATGGGGCAACTATTGCCAATGTTATTGTTTATTATTTAGTTAACCTTAAATACTCCTCATATGCTAGCACAGGCTTCAGACATAAAGGCAAACTCCAAGCCCACCTATGCAACTAGCCTACAGTATCAAAGCAGTTCTTTTCAATTGATTAGTGTTTTCTTTTTGTAAATAATCGTTACCAGTGGTTTCATAATTTGTTAAATCTTGCTATAGCACACTCAGCTAATTAAGGCTAGATGTGACAACAATGACAAACTTTAGCAACAGGGTCTAGCCATACCCACTAAGCATGTTAACTGTGAGAGCGGCAGGATAAGCCAGATAATACAATACTAAAAGCTGAGAGGTATAGGCTCTTCGTGCAACTATGTTTTTCCCCTAATAATATAAAATGTGCACTGTCTCTCAGGTCACACTAGAGTCACACATTTAGCATATATTTAACTGTACAGTGTGTTTATATTAGGATTATACATTTCAGGTGTTCCTTCTTTGTCACTCCTCTGAATACTCTTCCCTGACATGTGCATCTTGCTAAATCATCTAATCCAAACGAGGACCTAAACTGCTGAAATATTGATCTCACTAACCTAAAAATGTGCCTGACTACCGAATGCTACAACCTGTATTACAAATGTTTACTAGCTTATCCTGATGTCGCTGTTGTGGCGCACCAAGGCTTCTTGTTACTTCTGTGCACAACAAAAATAAAGAATAAAAAAAAGGTTGTATTAAAAATAAAAACACGTAATTTTGCTTAAAGTAGCTATTAAATGTATGAGTTGGAATCTAAATTAATAAACTTTAATTTGAACACCAAATGCATCTGGGCGACTGCTACAAATCCGGTTGGCCCAACTGAATTCCTACTGTATTTGACTTTAGTAAATATGAAACTTGTCTCTTTAGTCAAAATTTGGTCGTTTTTACAAAATCTTTTCACCCGGACAAAATGTGATGTTTACCCTGTTAAAGTATGTTTCAAATGTTAGGATACAATTACCAAATGGGAAACTTTTTCAAAGTCAACAGTGTGTCCAGTTCTTTCATTTTCACCTACAATTATTAATTCACTTTGAATTCACAGCAATTCACTCACAGTTTCACACATTTCAGTAACAATAACAGGACTGGTTATGAATTCTGCTACAAATATTGACTCAGACTAAGATTGGCCAGAAACTAAGCAATTTATATATTACTTTGATAGAAAAAAAACCAAACATTGAAAGATATTTTACCCAGGAGGTATATGGTATAATAGAAATATATACTATTTGTGTTTTCACACCAATGAGAGCCCTAAACGTCACCAGGTAACTTTTGGGGGCAGTATTTAATGCCACAGGGAGAGGTATACACACAAAGCATCTGCTAACTTAATCACATACACAATGCCGTTATACTTTGGGACACGCTCTGTAAAAGTGGAGTCTGCTCGAGAGACTTAGTCATTTGTTGAAAGAAATATACTGTTTTCAGAAAAAATACTGCCTTACAGCAAAAAAATAAAACTGCTGTCCTTGACTTGAAAACATCAATGGAAGTGGGAATCAGTGAGCAGCAGCAGTGAGGTAATGCTTGTAGACATCCAGTACAACGCACTGCACCTGTTTATTTTGGAACAGACAGACTTCACATACGTGTAGACAAAGCGGAAGCCAAAATCCGCTCGGGATGAACACAAGCACTCTCTCATTAACGAACCAAAGTAAAGAAAAATGAGGTGGGAAAGATGTGAGGCCTCCTGTACCATATGCTCTGTGTCACAACCTGAACTATACACGTTTAATAGGTTTATCAATGCTGCTTCGGGGCCTGGGGATAGAAAGACCAAACAAATCTTATTCTACATTATGTCCCCCGGCAGCTTCTTCCTTCCAATACAGTCTGCTGAGTCAAGAAAATACATTTACACATGTATGAAAAAAGCAGATATTTCATTAAAGCCCTTCCAAGACTACACGGATTTAGATATTAAAGGAACACAAACATGTTTCATGTATCCTTCTTAATGATATAGTGTTATACTAAATATTTAGAAGGTGCCCCACCCCTGTGTGTAGTTATAAAGCAGGTATACTGGGAGGTGGGCCTGACTGTCATGGAGGAGAAAAGTGTTTCACTCAAGCTCCTCAACAATCTAAGGAATAAAAAGCATTTCACAGCCCCATACAGCACGACCTGGGCAGCAACTGGCAGCTCATCAGACTCCTAACTTGGCTGAGACATGTTGCCAGGTTGGTGACTCAATGGGAGGCCTTGTGGGCATCGGGCAGGGGTCAATTCCCCGCACTGGAGCAGCACATCGACTACGCCCATGAGGCAAGGACCCCTGTTACCCTGCCCCCTCCTTGGACCGTTGGGGGTGATCACGGTCCCACTTGTCAGGGCTCACCTGAGTTGGGAGTCCGGCAGGCAGAGATATATGCTCACACTTGCAAGAAAAAACAGGCCGAGGTGGTCAGGTAAGAATTCACCTGGCCTGTGAGTCGGTGCACGGGGGCCGTGCAGGATAATTCTCCAAGTGGAAGTACAGGAACAGATAAAGCAGGAGAATCATCGTGGGTAAGCCAGAGGTCAGAGGGTGTCAGAAATCAGGATTAACGAGAAGAAAGCCGAGGTCAGAGGATGCCAGAAGTCAGGATATACGGAGTAACAAGCCAAGGTCAGGAATCAACAGGAGGACACTGGAACACAAACAGCAAACCGATAACCAGAGTCAAAGAACTGACACTGCCTTCTGGGAGAGGCAGTGTTTTATAACTGGCTAATGAGACCATCATCTTCAGGTGTACCAAGAGTGACAGGAGTAATTCCAATGCATGTCCAGCCCCCAGTGCTGGATACAAGACAGAGCTGGATACTGGCATTACTAAAGCTGAATGGTGGCTCAGAGGTGACATAGCAGCCCCAGGACTACAAAATACCCAGATTCAAATCCACTACTGGGCACTCCTGGGGCAACCTCGTCTGGGAACCGTGACAGTACCCCCTCTCCAAAGCCGCCTTTAGGCTTAAAAAAAAGGCAACTACGGCCCAAAAAGTCACTTTTTAGATTTCTTGGTTCTGGTGTTGCATGCAGGAGTGGAGGACATAGCTTGAGCGGTCCTGATGGCTAGCAGTGCCCTTTCAAGGTCATGCAAGTGTTCCGAAACCACTAGAGTCCCATCAGATGTACAAGTGTAGCCAGGAGGAGGATCTTTCTTCATAGAACAATTTGCAGTTTCAGGTACTACTGGCCAGATGGGCAGGACCACGGGACCGCAAATACTCCAGGCCTACACATACCTGTAGTGAGTGAGGAGGACGCAGGGAATAGAAGAGACTGGCACCATCGGCTTGCACTGTAACGTACCCATGACGGGAGTTGGCTGACCGCATGGCTGAGACTCTAGCATGTTTATACACAGAAGCCATGCCATCTTTATTTTATTTTATATCTATTTCTTTAGTGCTCCTAAGCTCTGTTGCTAAACTAAAATAGCCTAAATGTTATGTCCCTGGACCTCCCTGGGGTTGTACACCAGCTTAGTGTTTTCTTCATGTTGATTAGCCTAAAAACTCTCTCATAGTTCACTCATTAACTCGTAGCTTGTTCACCTCAAAGAAACCTAGCCTGAATATGCATATAAAACATGTGCTGTTTTTTCTCTGCTGCCATGATACTTACTGTCTTCACCATGCTTGCTTATGCTGTTGTGGCACAGCAAGAGTATCCGTTATTAGTTATGTCATGCACAACAAAAATAAAGAATTGTAAAAATAAGCAGGTTTACTTACCTTTTAGTCCACGCAGTGCAGTCTGCCTGGCTGAGATCATTAGTCTTGATGATCTCAGCCAATCCAATTCATCCCCATATTAGAAGTTTAATATGCATGCACAGCAAATCACCACATTGTGCAAATCAGCATTTGCTCATAGAGATGCATTGACTTTTTTTCTCCACGTAGAATGTTGAGATGCTAAACATTGGTTCTGCAATCTTTGCAGGACTGAGCCCTGGAAGTCTCTCTATTGGCTGTCTGAGTGACAGTCACAAGACGTGGCATTAGGCAGCAATGAAATCACTGCAGTTTCTCAGAAAAGGCAGAGTTTACACAGCTCAGCCTGCATGGACAGGTTATGTTCCCCAGGACCATTATATCAACTGTAGTGTTTTGGTGACTAATGTCTCCCTTTAAAGGAACCTCATTGGTTCTGGAAAATATAAAATGCAATGAATTCATCATACCTATTGTATTTTTAAACCCACAAAATACCAAAATACGATAATCAGAACGTGCACAACAGCAGAGGAAAAAAGCAAATGTAATAAAATAATATAAAATCATTGCACAATGTGTTGAAAAACTCAAAGTATATTAATGAGGAAAAATAAAACGACAAAAAAATGTTGCTTAAAATGTGTATAATAATTCAGAAAAATAAAATGAAAAGATAAAATCACAGTTGGTAAAATACATGTGCAAATGCAGCACTTATTGTATAACAACAAATGTTCTAAAATGGCACGTTGGGGAACAAGCTGCACAGTGACCTGTGGCTGTGATAAAGGCCAAAGTTAAAAGGTAACAAAAAATGCAAATATCTTCATTAGACAAACACACCGGTACAAGCAGGAGAAATTCTGAATCTCTGGAAAAGGCACACTCACCCGTCCCTTAGAAATACCCCAGGCAGATATACTGTAAGAGAGACGAATGAGAGAACAAGGTAACACACATTGTTACTAAACTAAACTTATATATCAGAAAATACTGCAGAGAAAGGAACTTTGGGTGATTCGGACTTCACAACAAAAAAACCCCCAAAGGTTTCCATTCTATAAGGAACCTCCGGACTTCAACTATTCTGGGAGTGCTGTGTTCTACAATGGTAACAAACTAAACAGGCTAACCCCACAAACCCCATCCTGGAATACCACTCACTAAGCCAAAAATAAGATTCTGTCAGTGTACTGACATATAGATAAATGTACTATGAAATAACTGACATATAGCACAGAACGTTCCAATGTAATTATAAATAAAAGTAACAAAATAACGAACATATAGCACACAAAGTTCCAATGTAACTATAAAGAAATGGAATGTGAAATAACAGACATATAGAGCAGAATATTTTTCCTCTTGTCATTTTCAGAAATAGTCTTCTGATAATGGCCTTGATAAATTGCGCAATGACAAAACGTGTTTTCGCCCAATTCTGTAATCTAGTTTAAAAAAAACAAACAAAAAAATTTCTGCCCTTTTCCAGAATTCCTTTATGACAAATAGCACGTGTGACTTGCCATAAAAATATTTCTGTGGCTGTTCTGATGGTCTGCCCTCCTTAGAAATATGTTGATCATCGCGGTTTACGAGACTGACAGCATTCCTGACATTGTAGGCTTTATGGAAAACATCTTGGTTAGGTAAACTCATCTGTGTCTGTGCGCCTTTAAAAATTCCTGGCAGTTTCCTACACAGCACCCCAAATGGATAACCCTCAAAGTGCCAAAGGGTCGAGTGATCCAATGCATTGATGCTCTTCTAGCCATGCCAGGGTTAAGGGATGTAGTTAGTCCCAGGGAGGTTTTAGGAGCGCGAAATGATTCCAGGTGATGATTTGGAATACATATACTGGTCACATTAAGAGCATGCCTCAGATCACTACTATTTTTAAAGAGAACAATATGAGCTTTTTGTTAGCTTGAGAGTTGAACAAGCAGGACTTTTCATTATTTTAATAAAATAAAAACAGACGGAACAAAAAAAAAGCTGGCTCCACTAAGTGTTTTTAGGATTGGATAAACTACACAAACTCTCTGGTGAGTCAGGAGTTTAGTTTCATTTTGAATTAGCAAGGTTTTGGTGGTAAGAAGATTTTTAACAAAATTTAAGAGCTTAAGGAAAGTGAGAGACGACAACTGAATATGGATTTCACAATAAATGGAAATCACTTAGCGGTCCAAAACCACTCTTGTTAAAATCAATCTTTATTACGTACATTGAAGGCTGCATGAATCTGTAAAATCTAAAAACAAGGCTAAGCAAAAAATATTTTAAAAAAACATAGCAACTCTGGCTGAGTGAGGAGCTCAAAAAACCAAAAACATAGCAACTCTGGCTCAGCGAGGAGCTAAAAAAAACAAAAACATAGCAACTCAGGCTGAGTGAGGAGCTCAAAAAAACAAAAACATAGCAACTCAGGCTTAGTGAGGAGCTCAAAAACCCCAAAACATAGAAAGTCAAGCTCAGTAAGGAGCTCAAAAAAACAAAAACATAGCAACTCAGGCTCTGTGAGGCACTCAAAAAAAAAAACATAGCAAGTGGGGCTTAGTGAGGAGCTCAAAAAAACAAAAACATAGCAACTCTGGCTCAGCGAGGAGCTCAAAAAAAACAAAAACATAGCAACTCGGGTACAGTGAGGAGCTCAAAAAAACCAAAAACATAGCAACTCAGGCTCAGTGAGGAGCTCAAAAAAAACAAAAACATAGCAACTCGGGTACAGTGAGGAGCTCAAAAAAACCAAAAACATAGCAACTCAGGCTCTTTGAGGCACTCAAAAAAAACATAGCAAGTTGGGCTTAGTGAGGAGCTCAAAAACAAAGCAACTCAGGCACAGTGAGGCACTCAAAAAACCAAAAACATAGCAACTCAGGCTCAGCAAGGAGCTCAAAAAACCAAAAACATAGCAACTCAGGCTCAGTGAGGAGCTCAAAAGCCCCAAAACATAGCAAGTCAAGCTCAGTAAGGAGCTCAAAAAAAACAAAAACATGGCAAGTGGGGCTCAGTGAGGAGCTCAAAAAAAACAAAAACATAGCAACTCAGGCTCAGTGAGGAGCTCAAAACCCCAAAACATAGCAACTCAGGCTGAGTGAGGAGCTCAAAACCCTAAAACATAGCAACTCAGGCTGAGTGAGGAGCTCAAAGCAGAGTATATGAGTCCCAAGCATGACTCCCTCTAAGTACCAACTTAACTGGGCTCTCCTCTGCATCCGAATTCATAATGCGGAAAATCTTCAACATCATCTAAAAACCATCAGCAATCAGGTCATGAAAAACCTTCATTTGTTTGATGACTTTTTACCGTATTGAAATAAAAATCTGGGTAAATATTCAGGAAACTCATCAATGAGAAAGAAATGTGTTTAATTACGATGATCTTACAAAGCAAGGCCATTGCTCTAATAAATAAGTTATATTCCATTATTATCCCTATTATATCACAAGTGCCATAAAACAAACATAGTATGGATGGCAGGTGAGGTCAGGGAAAGTCAGAAGGTGATACTTTCAAGGAGAGCACTTCTATGGAGTAAATACTACTGGAGTTCTTACTGGAGTGAGGAGTGTAAAGGAATTCAATAATTGCTGCTGAAGCATGTCCATGTTTCCATGTTAAGAGAAAGTTTGCTTATAAAGTCAGTAAATGTCCATAGGAAAGACACCTGGCCTTCTCTCTGGCCATCCCTCATTCTGATAAGCAGAAAAGCTACGTGTGAATGAGTTTCGCTACAAATTCCGTCACAATTCAGCCCAAATTTGAACTTCAACCAAATCCGTGCACAATTCAGTTCAAATTTGACCTTCAACCATGATCAGTCCTGATCACTTGACACTTACCTCCAATCACGTGACCATACTCATCATTATCATACTATGCTACCTGTCTTATGATGTGTTTTCTCAAGTGTATACGCTCACTCTGGCTACTCCAGCCACATTGCACCCGTTTTAAAGCTTTTATTATGTACATTTATGTTTTCTCACACATAGTCACATGATCAAAAATGTGATCACGTGACCATGACGTCATTAAGGTTCCAAATTTTAGTTTGTGCTTCCCATATATATAACCTAATGCCAGGTACCCCACTTTTCACTTGATAAAGACTGTATTGCTGGTGAAAAGCGTTGCGGATTATATTTGTTCTGTTTTTAAACTATTTTTATTAAACTTCTGTAGTTCACTAATAATTTGGACCAATTTGTTTTTTATAATTTAATTTTTTAACCTTCATCAGTTCCTGGTATACCCTGAAATACAAATTGGAACATCACCAACTGATCCTCGGTGGGGATTGTACCACTAACTCTGTCAAAATAGAGCAATTTTACTGCTCCAAAAATTGAAAGTACATCTTTATCTATTTTCATATGTACCGGTACTTACATACAGAGAGTACTATATACTGTTTATTTTCTTCCATATATGCAAGCGCTGTCAAAGAATATGTGAACCAATCATATCAGTAGCCATATCAGTAGCAATTCCTATTTTTAGCACTTTGGTCACTTTATGTTGACAAGCACTATTGGATGTTTTTTGTCTTTACATATTTCACGCTGACCCACGTGAGAGATCATATATTCATCAATATCCACTAGTGGGGATTGTACCACTACACTCTGTTAGTACCAGAGCTTGTATGATTGCTCTAGTAAATGTGAGTAGGAGTTTACACACCTTATGTTATATGTTATTCACTCATTGTGTTACATATTACACTATCAGTATCCCCATTTGTTTTCCTTTTTTTTCTGCATCCTTATGATGCAGAAAATTTGAGATCATCAGAAGACCATTAGGACTATTTATTTTATAGTTCATCCTGCTTTGTGTGTTTTTATATTTATCCTGGTTTATATCTTACAAATCTGTCCTTTATACTTTGTTGTTTTATTTAGGCGCAACCTGTTTTCCGGTTTCATTTTTCCACCTAACCTACCTCAACAATCTTAATTCTATTACTATAAAGTATTCTAAAAGTAGTAGTTTTCTTCATAATAAATGTTTTTCAAATTGTTAGGAAAAAAATATATAAAAAATGTTCTGCCGGAAAAAGTGTCAGTAAGGTTGAAAATCCTTTGCCGAAAAAGGGCCTGAATTGAAAACTATTATTTAGGGCACAAGAGAAACAATAAATACAAAAAACAAGAGATTAAATAAACTGTGCAGAAAATTCACAGAAAATTAGATGTAAAGGAGTTGGCGACACCAATAAATCTCCCCTATTACACCAAGAAATTTGACTAAACTCAAAGTCTGAACCACAAGGAAAACAGAACATGGACCATTTCCAGAGAAAATGGATTGAATCCTTGGAAAATCTCAATATTACACGATGATACATAGGTGGCACCTGGCAGCAATAAAGCTCCATTTAATGCACCAAAAATACAGCAATAAGATACGGGACTCAGCAATGGATCCAGGAGACACATATGGTAGGATAAAAGGTACTAAAAGGAAAATACCACAAAATCTGTTTTCAAGCTTTTCAAGGACTGACATGGCAGAGTCAATAGATGTAGATTTATCTAGGAAAACACACATACTTTTTCCATATCTGAGGCAAAAAAATATAAGTTGTACTTGTGATCATGGGAAAAGTCCCTCTACCAATATGGGAAATCAAAAAATAAATAGAATTCCAAAGGGAGGTGCAAACAAGGTATGAAACAACTAACTTCCTCAAATGTACCCCAAAACACAAACCCTGTGGCACTGACATAGCACATAAAACCTGTATTATATAAACGTAGGAAACCATCATACACACAGTATATACGAACACTGTGGATTAAAATAATTTGGAACAAATATAGAGCCAATAGAAGTCGGCATTTCATCAATCTTAAGTTGATGCAGGAGAAAGTTCTTCGACATCAGGTCCCCATTCCATGATGGCTTCTTATGGTTTTATTATATAGGTTTTATCTGCCATTGTCTGCTGTGAATCTATTGCAACCATTGTGTGCGCAATCACCTTGTTCCTATCTTTATTTTACATATGTATGAAGTGCTAAAGTGACACTTGGACGACCGTTTAAGCAGCACTGGATTTTTATGTTTAGTGCCATTGTTCATGAATAGAATTTTTGTTTGTTGTACTGACATAGCACAGCCACCACCATTAACAATCCAGGCAGAGGTCTAGATAGAATAGGAAAATAACGGCCATAGTCATCAGTCCTTCGCTTATAACTGCTGAAAGAATCATCTTACGACTTTTCTGTGTTTTTGTGCTGGTATTACGGCACACTTGTACAAACATATATAGATGCGTCATACAAAGCTTTCTATTCATTTCACTCTTTCACTAACATTTAATCACTCTCCTCAACTTGGTCCCTTCTTCTATTTGGAGTTACTCCTTTTTAATGATTTACCCAGTTGGGTTTAGTTTTACTTACTTTGTTAGTTTTATTAGGGCAAATTATACATGCATATCGGTGGCCGTGTATTGTTTGTTTAGCTTACTGCTCTGTTCGCACTATATTGTCTTTTTTTCCACCTGTCTGGTCTTAACATGAGGAAAATATCGATAAGCTCAAGGATCTTTGTTGCTGAACGCCTAGATGGACAATGACTTTACTAATGTACATAGCTAGAGAACTTCTCTAATTACTCTCATACGCCCTCTGCGGACCATGCCGATGTCTCACTCTTTGCTTATTTTACCTGAGTTGATATGACTTGTTGGAATTGGCATAATGTATTTTAGAAAATGTTGTTTCACAACTTTGCATTTTTTTCATGTATGTATTTTCTTTAAACTTTTTTTGTTTACTAAAATATATATATATATATATATATAAACAAATATGGAATATACAATAAACACATGCTCTAAGAATTGCTACACCTGCACACTAAGCTGGGCTAGGCCAATGTACATATCTGCTGTAATGTGACTTGATTACATTGATCACGTAATGAGTGGAAGGGCTGTGTGGCTACACATAAACATATATATAAGAGAGAAATTCTGTAATATTTAAAAAACAGTGAGGTACTTTACAGAATACTCCACAAAATGACACTACACATTAATCAGGTACCAGAACATCCCACACAGAGAGAATGGAAAGCTCAATATGTTTCCAATGAAGGCATACTTTTCTTTATACCCATATAGCTGAATGAACCCCAGATTTTCTCTGGAATTTAATAGGAGTGATAATATCACACGATAAAACCCTATTATTCCACTGGGTTAAGATATGCCAAGACATCCAATACAATATACAATCTGCACATGTTCTGAGGTATAGTGGTAATGTCAGGATTGTATTTGAAGATGACTTTAAACAAATAGGTTACTGTCCAACTTTCTCTGAAGCTATTTCATCCTGTAGACGCATACGCGATATAACTGGCTTGGATTCTGCATACATCTGGCTAGAAGCTCACATATCTCTGTATATAAGCAGTTGGCTGGAATCGGATGTCTGTTTCCATGGTTTTAGGAATAAAGTTTTTGGAGTGGAATGTCATTTTAAAGAACATGGTGTCATGTTTTAAAACCGCTTTTAGTTTTATGATTGCCCGGAGACATTTAAAGGAATCAGGTTGTATACACACACGTCCATTATCTGTGCTGGCTATCAGACCATTTATTTCACGCACCTGTTTTCCTGTGCTGAGCAGTGAATCTCTGTTCCAGGTTGGAGCCGTCTCTCTCGGCTTGGACACCAACTGATCCAGGTGACTGCTGACTGACATTTCCAGCAGAGACATCTGAAACCCCAAAACGGTGGTGGTTGCCAGAGGAATTTATTTCAAATATGGCGTCTTCAGCCCTCTTCTTTTCTTTCTTTAGCATGCTAACCAGTATATCTGTTTTAAAAAGTTTAGAAAATCTAGCATTTCCCTTTGTATAAAAGAGTCCATGGAGAAGTATATGATGTAGTTTTAATGTTCGAAACACAGTTTTTAGTCAGTTGGACCCCACCATAGCCACACAAAAAAAATGTATTTAAGCAAGCAAGCCACAAGGGTCTCTGTCAAAATGTAGGGTGTCTCTGCCAAGCTGTAGGGTGTCAAAAGTGAATAAGTCTGACTATGCCTTGGTGAAACACGCTGTATTTTGCTGGAACATGCCAAGAATTCAAAGTGAATTTTAAATTTAAGGCTTAATTAGCCATACTGAAGCATAGCTGTGAATTCTCACTTTAGTGAGTAACCCTGACACAGAATAGATAGATCATGTCTTTTTCCACCTTCCGCATTTGTTCAAGCGCTCAACTTGAACTTGACATCGGTTGAAGATACGGGACAGAGGTCCTAATTAAACCGCTGCCCTTTCAGGACCATTAACCTTTCGTAGTTCACAGCCTTAAATGTGTTATTCTATTACTGTATTGTTCTATTACGGTTTTCTACTGGTATTTTGACACTTGACTGTCTTGACTCCTCTGCTCTCCTGTACCCTTACTTGGCTAGTATTTTTACCCCACTGTTATTAGATATTTTTACCTAGCGTATTTTCCAGACATAGATTTTGCAAGCCTTATTCCACCTGAGCGTTAAGCATGGCCACTCTAAGGTCCGGTAATATGCAAAATAATCTTTGTATATTTATCCTTCTCTAGTACATGGAAGACCTAACTGTCATGGCAAGGGTGCGTAATCCATCATTGCACTATGGAATATTGTCCTTTAATTTAATTTGTGTAGTGCAAAGATAATATGCCTGCCTGGTAGAGGTGGTATTGTCAAAGTCCAAAGGGGTTAATTTGATTGTATGGAAGGTTTATAGCCTTAATTCCTTTTAGAAGCTGGGACCCCCACAGAGGTCAGATGACAGAAAGAGTAATGTAAATTGCATAGGAATGTGAAAAAGGAAAGACATCCTGTGGTTAATCAAAGGCCCTGCAAGGTGTGAGATTCTACACTTGAAAAGGCATATGGCTTGTGCCTCTTAATTGATGAATCAATCTCTTTGATATGTTAATGGCTATTAGCCTTGTTCCAGTATCATATCCAAAAGAGAAAAACATTAATATTTACCCACAGAATAATAATCAAGTCTCATTTCTGTTGTATTAGGAATGTGACAAGTGCCATCTTCTAAACAAGCCCAAACATGAGAGGCATAACTTAACCATAGGGGAAGGGATTGTCATGTCTGCCATAGTGGGTCGCAAGTAAGAAGTGTAACATGCCTATGGAATGGGAAAATAATAACACATTCGTAGATGCAATTATTATTTCTGTGGCAGGTACATAAGAGAAGGTAGAACCAAATGTTTCCATTTGGATTGATGTGGGTCTGGACACAAGGGGGTGGTCATGTAGTATCTCTATAGATACGCCTTAACTCCACCTATACAGGGTATATCTCTAATGATACTGAAGGGTGTATTGTACTTGCTTGAGGACAGAATCTAATTCTAAGTGAGTCACTGTCTTTCCTACCAGAAACCCAATGGGGCAGAAGTCTTACTTTGAAAAGCTGAGTAAATGATAGGGACTTCTGTTATTTTATCCCTTTCATTGTTGGTGTAAATAATTTTGATTGACATCTATATTTTTGTATGCACCGTGACTATTTTTTGTTCATAATCAAAATTCCTTTATTAAGTTCTGCTTTTGTCTGGTAAAGAATCACGTTACCTGAAGAGACTAATTAGTATTTTTGCAATTCCTTAAATATTGTGCTAAGTTGTATTTGGTGGGTTTTTATTATTGATTTACCTGGGGACCATTTATAAATTGTCTTGGTGGTGGCAGTGTTAAAATAGTAATAGTTCTATTATTATGTCTAAGTGTGCATGGTGTTAAGGGGGGTTCTGTCATTATTTCCGGTCTAGTGCAGACAAATAGTGAACTTTATCCCTTTCACCACCACAACTATGTCATGCACACTCTTGAAGTAGGGTGTGTTTGTGACACTAACTACACTGATACAAGTGAGCAGGTAAACAGATACTATGCCTGGTACTGACACAAGTGAGCAGGTAAACAGATACTATGCCTGGTACTGACACAAGTGAGCAGGTAAACAGATACTATGCCTGGCAGTGATACAAGTGAACAGGTAAACAGATACTATGTCTGGTACTGATACAAGTGAGCAGGTAAACAGATACTATGTCTGGTACTGACACAAGTGAGCAGGCAAACAGTTACTATGTCTGGTACTGATACAAGTGAGCAGGTAAACAGTTACTATGTCTGGTACTGATACAGGTGAGCAGGTAAACAGATACTATGTCTGGTATTGATACAGGTGAGCAGGTAAACAGATACTATGTCTGGTACTGATACAGGTGAGCAGGTAAACAGTTACTATGCCTGGTATTGATACAGGTGAGCAGGTAAACAGAAGTCACTGTTGGCTGAGATGGGAGTGAGCAGATAAACCGTTTACAATTAAAAGGATACTGATCTCATTATCTCTTTGCTGCAGAAGATCCCGGAGTTTCTTAATGTCTTCGGGTTTTGATGTAGAACTAGAAGGTCTCTCAGAAGCAGTCTCTCCCCCATGGTGCTTCCAGTGATTTAAAAGTCTCTGTTTGAGAGAAAGTCACACATGATACATGTACTGACTTTCTGGAGGAACTATTTAATAAAACCAAATCCAACGACTAGTGACCAGGAATAACTGACCAATTCCACAATTATCTGTGATATTCCCAGTATTTGGACACATTTAGTGTAATTTTCACTGGGTCCCTCGCCAATTAGGAGATTATTTTACAGACTATCTTACCTACGATGAATTGGCCTGCAGTCAATACAGCAATTCTCTCTTGGACCTTATTCCCATTGGGTATATAGCAGAAATCAGAAGCCTAATTTACTCCAGGTTGCCCTTGTTCGATGGGCATTCTGTGCATTGTACCAGTCGTGCACTTGCTGGCACGCAGTAAAAATGCACACGTTACCCACCAGAAACATTAAGTGCTGTGAAATATTTAACAAATCCTCCTACACACTATACAGACATGCAGGTACTGTCTGCTACCTTGAAAAAAGCAAAGGAATGCTGAATTTTTCTCATGTCGGCTCCTATATCTGGAGTGCCTTCTGGATCTCTGTCTTCCAAATAAGCCTGGAGCTCCTCTTCAAGTCTGCAGGAATAAAGAATAAGCAACTTATTAAATTCTCAGTCAACACTCCAGAAAGGGACTTCCAAGCCGAAGATACAGAGTTATTAAAGACTGAGCTATATCCCATATATACAGGGTTAGTAAAGAGCTATATCCCAGATATACAGGGTTAGTAATTAGCTGTATCCCATATATACAGGGTTAGTGAATAGCTGTATCCCATATATACAGGGTTAGTGAATAGCTATATCCCAGATATACAGGGTTAGTAAATAGCTATATCCCAGATATACAGGGTTAGTAAATAGCTGTATCCCATATATACAGGGTTAGTGAATAGCTGTATCCCATATATACAGGGTTAGTGAATAGCTATATCCCAGATATACAGGGTTAGTAAATAGCTATATCCCAGATATACAGGGTTAGTAAATGGGATATACAGGGTTAGTAAATAGCTATATCCCAGATATACAGGGTTAGTGAATAGCTGTATCCCATATATACAGGGTTAGTGAATAGCTATATCCCAGATATACAGGGTTAGTAAATAGCTGTATCCCATATATACAGGGTTAGTGAATAGCTGTATCCCAGATATACAGGGTTAGTAAATAGCTATATCCCAGATATACAGGGTTAGTAAATGGGATATACAGGGTTAGTAAATAGCTATATCCCAGATATACAGGGTTAGTAAATAACCGTATCCCAGATATACAGGGTTAGTAAATAGCTGTATCCCATATATACAGGGTTAGTGAATAGCTATATCCCAGATATACAGGGTTAGTAAATAACCGTATCCCAGATATACAGGGTTAGTAAATAGCTATATCCCAGATATACAGGGTTAGTAAAGAGCTATATCCCAGATATACAGGGTTAGTAAATAGCTGTATCCCATATATACAGGGTTAGTGAATAGCTGTATCCCAGATATACAGGGTTAGTAAATAGCTGTATCCCATATATACAGGGTTAGTGAATAGCTATATCCCAGATATACAGGGTTAGTAAATAATCCCAGATATACAGGGTTAGTAATAGCCGTATCCCAGATATACAGGGTTAGTAAATAGCTATATCCCATATATACAGGGTTAGTGAATAGCTGTATCCCTGTATATATACAGGGTTAGTGTATCCCATACAGGGTTAGTAAATATCCTATATATACAGGGTTAGTGAATAGCTATATCCCAGATATACAGGGTTAGTAAATAGCTATATCCCAGATATACAGGGCTAGTAAATAGCTATATCCCAGATATACAGGGTTAGTAATAGCTATATCCCAGATATACAGGGTTAGTAAATAGCTGTATCCCATATATACAGGGTTAGTGAATAGCTGTATCCCATATATACAGGGTTAGTGAATAGCTATATCCCAGATATACAGGGTTAGTAAATAGCTGTATCCCATATATACAGGGTTAGTGAATAGCTGTATCCCATATATACAGGGTTAGTGAATAGCTATATCCCAGATATACAGGGTTAGTAAATAGCTATATCCCAGATATACAGGGTTAGTAAATGGGATATACAGGGTTAGTAAATAGCTATATCCCAGATATACAGGGTTAGTGAATAGCTGTATCCCATATATACAGGGTTAGTGAATAGCTATATCCCAGATATACAGGGTTAGTAAATAGCTGTATCCCATATATACAGGGTTAGTGAATAGCTGTATCCCAGATATACAGGGTTAGTAAAGAGCTATATCCCAGGTATACAGGGTTAGTAAATAGCTGTATCCCAGATATACAGGGTTAGTAAATAGCTGTATCCCAGATATACAGGGTTAGTAAATAGCTATATCCCAGGTATACAGGGTTAGTAAATAGCTGTATCCCAGATATACAGGGTTAGTAAATAGCTATATCCCAGGTATACAGGGTTAGTAAATAGCTGTATCCCAGATATACAGGGTTAGTAAATAGCTGTATCCCAGATATACAGGGTTAGTAAATAGCTATATCCCAGGTATACAGGGTTAGTAAATAGCTATATCCCAGATATACAGGGTTAGTAAATAGCTGTATCCCAGATATACAGGGTTAGTAAATAGCCAAGATATATCCCAGATATGTATCAGTAAACAAGAGAGTGCAAAATAAATGGTTCAAAATAAAAAATATATAAAGAAAAAGCAGCTATACACATAAGAAACTTCCTTTAAATGTTCACATAAAACAATGCTAATCAAAGTGTCAGCGCTCAAGTGAATAAACCCTTTATTACACAATCCAGGTAATCCACATATAAACTATGAAGTAGAAAAGCAGCATATGCACCTTAAAAATTTCGTAAAAATAAATGACTTAAATAGAATTAGCAGCATATATGACACAGCATGTCCTACTCCAATATATAAATCATATGGTATAATGTCCATCATGTAGGGGGGTAATATTACCACAAAAGTTGGATCCACACTCCTTGAATGCAGTGTTCGCAAAACTATCCACAGTACCTTAAAAAGGATACAAGGAGATCCACATAGTGTAACACTGTATTTATTGTAGCAAATAAAAAAAAACTCTCCCCCAAAGTGAACCATTACATTTAAATTGTTTGGTACTTGTTTCCAAAAAACCACAAAGTAAGCGTTGGTGTACAGTAGTTTGTAAGACTTTAACGTCCAGCCTCCTGTCATACAGGTTCTGACTGGATATTCAAGCCGGGGAACGATGATTTGATCGTGGAAGGACGCCGGAGCTGGAAACCGCTACTCTCCTGCCAAGCTCAAGAATTATAATGCCGCTCGCACTTCAACATGTTTCAAGATATCTTTTTCAAGATAGTGCGACGGACACCCAGAGCGCGCTTATATGCGCTCATGTTTATCAGTCTTTACAGTGCCGGTTTGCCTAAACAGTCCAACATTATCTTTCCATGAAAGGAACTCCTCTTTTCATTAAATATTCAAGAGGAGCTATACATCACATAATTAAAAACAACTGATAAACAATACACAGCGTAATCATCAATACAATCATAATGCGTTTTTAATGTATCTGGGTTTTTTTTAATTACGGGGTATACAGGGTTAGTAAAGAGCTATATCCCAGATACATCTTTAGAGAAAGAAAAATAAACAAAATAAAACTAAACTGTAGCTTTTAGATAGGAGAAAATTAATTCACGTTCACGAAGGACTCTAAAACAGACAAACAAAATAAAAAGCAAATACTACTCAAAATCTTGGGACTTTGTGTTCTTAAAGCTTTGACTATTCACCCCAAGATTCTAAGATTGGATGAAACCCTTATGACTTTGAATCTTAAGCCAAGATTTCCGAAATTTGTGTTCACTGACTACTTGCGGGTGGTGGGAATTTTTATAGAGTGTTCTAAGTAGCTTAGAGTCACTCCTCTTCCAGAATACGCAAGAGGTCAGCATTCAAAAGACATTACTATACCTCGATTTAAAAATAAAATATTGTAAAATGGGTTACAGAAGTGCAACTAAACCATAACACACTGCTGTAAAGGATGATGGGAGCCAAAATCAGCAATGGAACTTACTGGTGTTAATCAGTTCCATTGCAAACAGGACAGTTTTTTGGATGGGAGGTAGAAAGGGGTACAGCTGCTAACTATGGTTTGAACATTAAGGTGATGAGATATAAATGGATTGATTGCTTTGAAATGGCAGCATTCAAAACGCTATGTGCTGCTTTTGGACACAGATTGCGCTTTTTAAATGTCAAATGTTAAAAGGCGCGTGTGTGAAGCCAACATCCAATAATATATACACATATCACTAAACAAATGTTTATGGGGATAAGGACACATTCCTGCTTTGTACATTTGAAGGATTTGACATTTTTTATATTTTTTTGTTCTTAATAAAACCCGTTTCAGAATTCCAGTGGGAAGATAAATCTGAATCATAATAACCTATGTCAAGAATTCAATTTATGATACAAAAATGACCCCAAAAGACTGATATAACCACAAACTGAAAGCGGAGTTTAACTTGCAGAATCCTTTAACTCGAAATACAATTATTAGAATATTCCAGGCTTGTTGCTAATATGTAGCCCAATGGAATGCAGTTTAACCAGTCCTTAACTATTTGCTTCAAAATGTTTCCAAGAAATTGCTAAATCTATTTTCTCTGCATTAAATGTATCAGTAAGGAAACCATACTTCTATTTTATCTGGTTATATAACTGCACCAAAATCTAAAACAGCTGTGTCGCGTTAAACGGAATCTCAGGTTAGTGGGTCAGTCATTTACAGATCAAACCTACGTTATTACATGTAAAAAGACCTGGACAGACAGTAAAAGGTATGAGGCAGAATTAGTACAATGGGAAATCGACATCCATAGTTAGAACTGCCAGGTCCAGCACAGTTTCCCAGGACACATAATGTTTTTACATTGAAGGGAAGAGCATGAAAAGTGCTACCCTGCAGTATGAATGCTAGGTAAGCAGGTCTTTGATTAAGAGGCTTGTTTTCTGCAAAGTATGAATTCTAGAGGGTGCAGGACTCTTTCCACGTACCTTTCTCTGAGCTGCATTGGGAAGTCTGTGATTGGACAGCCACAGAAAGTCTGGTCGGGTTTAGAAGGGGAGGGCTTACAAAGGCTGCAAACAAGAGATCTGTAGCTTTTGCAAGCTGTTTTTAGATACACCTCCAATGGAAAAAAATGCATGTGTTTTATCATTGGGGTATAGCTCTAAACATTGTTTGTTTTGTTTTTTCATTTGGCTAGTAAATAGTGATGTCCCGAACGGTTCGCCGAACAGTTCGCGAACGGTTCGCCACGGACTCATCATTGAGTAAACTTTGACCCTGTACCTCACAGTCAGCAGAGACATTCCAGCCAATCAGCAGCAGACCCTCCCTCCCAGACCCTTCCACCTCCTGGACAGCATCCATTGTGAAGCTGCATTCTTAGTGAGCTGTCCAGGAGGTGGGAGGGTCTGGGAGGGAGGGTCTGCTGCTGATTAGCTGGAATGTGTCTACTGACTGTGAGGTACAGGGTCAAAGTTTACTCAATGATGAGTCCGCGGTGAACCGTTCGTGGCGAACCGTTCGCGAACCGTTTGGCGAACCATTTGGGACATCACTACTAGTAAAGTGACACTTTAAAAACTGCTTAGACTCCGTCTAAGGACGTTAGCAAATAGCAGCGTCACAAGTATTTTATCTCTTGGAATTCAAGTGAAGGAAAACAAAGAACAAGCTTTCTAAACCTAAAAGACTAAACATGAAACATGGGCAGACAATAAGGACATAACCAAAACGTGTGGGGGTTGGTTTAGGAGTTATTTTTTTGAAAACTATGGTGGATAAAAGGCCAGCCTTTAGACCTAATGCTGTCCGGGACAGGAAAACTATAACAAGAAACATTACTTTATACGAGTATAAACTGGTGGAGACAATCTGATTAGTCTCACGGCCCATGGCTTGTGCGCAAGGTCCCTTTAAAATCCCTCTGTCATCAAATGTGTACTTTGCACAATCATGTGGCACTAAAAAAAAGTTAATATATTGTTGTGGCGAAACCGACCTCACCACTGGCAATTGGAGAAGACTGATTGCCAGCCTCCTGCCCTGTGACTATGGCCCCATGTTGAAATGCTGGATTTTCCCCTGCAAAGACCCGAAAACTGGGTCATTTGGTACTTTCCCTATGTAAGCAGTGTTACCCCAGACAGCTATGCCATGGAGCCCATTCGTATAACGAAAGACTAGGTGAAAGACTTTGGCTCCATGGCAATTGATTTGTATGTATGTGATCTGAGCGCCATTCAGTAATAATTTGCGCTCAGATCTAAGCTATCCGGGGATATGTTGCATGTCTGTATTTTATGTAATAAATGTAACCTTGTGTATTTTATTGTATTTTACTGTCTTGTACTGCCATGTGGTTAATGGAGTTTTGCCTCTGTCCTTGGAGATAATTGGATTACTTCCCAATTATCTCCAGGATAGAAGACTCTGTGGATCTGGTTTTGGGCAGAAAAACCATGCTTCATTTGGTCAAATAGGACTTTCCCTTAACTTTTTAACCCCTGAACCGATTGCCCTGATTTTTGAATATGTGTATATTTCAAGCATGCGGATTCTGAATATGTAATTTTTATGAAGATTGGACGTATATTTTTAAAGTTATAGCACCTGTATAAAAACTGTATTTTTCCTGCTTGTGATAATTATGTTAACCCATTGTGTACCATAATTATATCACAGGCAGAGGGGAGGATTTTGTGTATAATTGCTGGGAGTGTTTTCTGTAATGTACGTGTGTTATTGGTTGTTCTCTAAAACCCTGTTGGCAGTACTAAGTTTGTGGATTGGGAATAAAAGAGGCTGTATGTGCCAGTACAGTCAGTTCTGCTTGACCTCAAAACGAAGTGTCGTCTCGTTATTGGGGGAATTGGATTGTATGCTGATTGCCAGGAGTGTAAGCTGATTGTATGCTATTCCTGTTCAGCTGCTTACATCATTCAGATGCTTGAGAGCATTCGTATGCTTCTCTTGTTCGGTGGTTGTGGTGTCTGCTGCAGTGCTTGGAGTCCTCAGGAAGTGCTAGGAGCATCTTTCAACGGAGGTACCCAGTCCGGGTGCCAGGTGATCCGTTACAATTGTATTGATATTTTTAAATCTACGGTGCATTATTTTTTTATTGAATACATCTCTGCACTGAGGAATTCTGGGAATGAATTGGTTCTCGTGTGGAAATCATTGCCTTTATGGTTGGGATATTATTTTGTGTTGATTTATATAAAGAAAACCCTGGTAACAGAACTGCCGGAGATGTCATATATAGCAGAGATTTGGAAACTGCAGTGTAAGTGTAAGCAGAATCTGTTCTCAGTTCATTAAAGATGTACTTTCAGAGTTTGTCTCTTTATTCCTGATCTAGTTCTCTAGCAGGGACTACTTTTACTTATGTATTTTTCGTAAGCTTGACCTTCTTTGACACATGCTCCATTTCCTGTGTCCGACACAGTTCTCCCACAATATTCACTTTGCTCCGTGTTCTTACGTTGCTTCCTTTCGCCAATTCTGAACGTCCTGCCATTTAGACTAGGGCGCCGCCAAAGTGACAGAATTTTGTCCGAAGAGAATGTCAGCAGTTTGTCCATTTGTATTCGAACTAAATTTGGGCATTATTTTCAGTTTGTAATTTCATTAAGAAATCATTAAGATTGTGCCATGGTTGCATCTTGCAGCTGTTTAGAAGATAGCCTCCTAAATCCCACAAGTATTAGGGAGCTATTTACTAGAAAGCTGATAGACCAACTTTACTAATACGAAGTAAAAAATACTTAGTAAACATTCTTCCTCATACCCCTACTATGCCGTGAGGACGGGCATGTAAAAAAAGTCCCCCTGCCCCAATTACAATACAGGGTGACCAGGCACACACATGCCTGGCACAGATCCCACATTACAATATTTAACAGGGGAGGACATAGCGTTCTCCTCCAGCCCCATAAGTGGGGGCTACAAAACTAAACAGTGTACCTAGTGTCCCAGCCCCCACCCATTAGCGGTGGGTGCCTTAAATTAGTATGGGACTACCCCCATTACTATTATCCCCCCACAGCTCCCACCCATTAGCAGGTGGACAGTAAATGAAATAAAGAAGCAAGGCTTCCTAGGACTAATTATTAAGCCCTCTCTCTTCTATCCATGAGAAACAATGGCATCGTTATAGGTATTGCGCGTACAGTTCCAGACAAAGTATATCACTGTCTACAGAATACAAAAAACTCTGATTGTACATGTAGACAAGGGCAGCCAGTACAGAAAATCTCCAAAAAATCCAAGTGCAGTAGACCTACTGACAGTATTTACTAAAAAGGTATTAAATCCATGGAGCCCATCTAGAGGTTTGAGAAAGGAGATGTGGATCAGTAGCTGTAGTAAGTAGTGCAGATAGGAATCATAACCAGGTCTTCTAAACCAACAGGTTTTCTACATGACAATCGCCAAAAAGCACCCCCTCACATTAAAACAAACTTTTCTAGTTTTTTCATAGGTCCCAGGTGGACGACACTAGGTGAACGAATAATTTCTTTAGATAATTTTATAAAAATACCTTAGAATCTCATCATGGGTCAGTTCCTCCGTCCTCTGTTCTCCAGTGATTAAGGACAATTCATCTTTCAGTGCTTGGATTTCTTTCTTAAGACGTACGATCATCTAAGAATAAACACAGAAACGGGAGCGTAGTGGATACTTGTGATTAAAAAACGGAAACATCACTGACTAGTGATATCGCGAACATAAAATTTTCGGTTCGCGAACGGCGAACGTGAACTTCCGCAAATGTTCGCGAACCGGGCGAACCCGCCGAACCGCCATAGACTTCAATAGGCAGGCGAATTTTAAAACCCACAGGGACTCTTTCTGGCCACAATAGTGGTTGAAGGGGGGGGGGAGGAGACCTACTCTCCTCCCCCCTCCCCGGCCCCCACCCCTGGGCGGCGGGTGGGGACCATAAAGATAATGAGGGGGGGACCTACTGTCCTCCCCCTCTCCGGCCCCACCCCTGGGCGGCGGGTGGGGGCCATAATGATAGTGAGGGGGGGGACCTACTGTCCTCCCCCCCGGCCCCACCCCTGGGTGGCGGGTGGGGGCCATAAAGATAATGAGGGGGGGGACCTACTGTCCTCCCCCTCTCCGGCCCCCACCCCTGTGCGGCGGGTGGGCGCCCTAAAAATACTGTCCCCCCCGGCCCTCACCCCTGAGCGGTGGGTGGGGGCCTTAAAAATAACAATAAGGGGGGGACCTATTGTCCCCCCCATCCCCCACCCCTGAGCGGTGGGTGGGGGCCCTAAAAATAACAATAAGGGGGGGACCTACTGTCCCCCCTGGCCCCACCCCTGAGCGGTGGGTGGGGGCCCTAATAACAATAAGGGGAGGACCTATTGTCCCCCCCCGGCCCCCAACCCTGAGTGGTGGGTGGGGGCCCTAAAATTAACAATAAGGGGGGGACCTATTGTCCCCCCCCCGGCCCCCACCCCTGAGCGGTGGGTGGGGGCCCTAAAAATAACAATAAGGGGGGGACCTATTGTCCCCCCGGCCCCCACCCCTGAGCGGTGGGTGGGGGCCCTAAATACAAAGGGGGGGGACCCTAGTCACCCCTCCCCCCCCAAAAAAAATGATCTCCCTACCAACCCCCCTCACCCTAAAAATAATGAGGATAAAAATAACTCACCATTTGATGTTTTCTTTCTTCTACAATCTTCTTTTTTCAGCCCCAAAAAAGGCCAAATAAAAAGCCATAAGAACCGACGCAATTAAAAAAAAAAACTAAAAAAAAAACGAGCGCACAAAAAAATAATTCATCTTCACCCATGGAGGGCTCTGCGCAGACTGAGCTCTGCAGGGCGGGGGAAGGCTTATAAAGCCTTGCCACGCCCTGCAATTAGGCTAAGAACACTCTGATTGGCTGGTTTAAGCCAATCAGAGTGCTCTTTGTCATTTTACACAGCGTGGGAAAATGCAAAAGAACTTTCCCACGCTGTGTAAAATGACACAGAGCACTGTGATTGGATGGATTTCAAGCCATCCAATCACAGTGCTCTGTGTAATTTTACACAGCGTGGGAAAGTTCTTTTGAATGGATTCCAAGCCATCCAATCACAGTGCTCTGTGTTATTTTACCACAGCGTGGGAAAGTTCTTTTGAATTTTCCCACGCTGTATAAAATGACAAAGAGCACTCTGATTGGCTTAAACCAGCCAATCAGAGTGTTCTTAGCCTAATTGTAGGGCGTGGCAAGGCTTTATAAGCCTTCCCCCGCCCTGCAGAGCTCAGTCTGCGCGGAGCCCTCCATGGGTGAAGATGGATTCTTTTTTTGTGCGCTCGTTTTTTTTGTTTGTTTTTTTTTTAATTGCGTCGGTTCTTATGGCTTTTTATTTGGCCTTTTTTGGGGCTGAAAAAAGAAGATTGTAGAAGAAAGAAAACATCAAATGGTAAGTTATTTTTATCTAATTTTTTTTTACAGGTTTTTAGTTAGGTCCCCCATCATTATTTTTAGGGTGAGGGGGGTAGGTAGGGAGATCATTTTTTTTTGGGGGGGGGAGGGGTGACTAGGGTCCACCCCCCCTTTGTATTTAGGGCCCCCACCCACCGCTCAGGGGTGGGGGCCGGGGGGGACAATAGGACCCCCCTTATTGTTAATTTCAGGGCCCCCACCCACCGCACAGGGGTGGGGGCCAGGGGGGCAGTAGGTCCCCCCCTTATTGTTATTAGGGCCCCCACCCACCACTCAGGGGTGGGGGCCGGGGGGGGACAGTAGGTCCCCCCCTTATTGTTATTTTTAGGGCCCCCACCCACCACTCAGGGGTGGGGGCCGGGGGGGGACAATAGGTCCCCCCCATATTGTTAATTTTAGGGCCCCCACCCACCGCTCAGGGGTGGGGGCCAGGGGGGGACAGTAGGTCCCCCCCATTAGTATTTAGGGCCCCCACCCGGGGAGGACCCTTTTTTTTTTTTTTTTAACAGTGAGCAGCCACAGGCTGTTCACTGTTTAATAGACATGCCCCTACTCGCGGTATTGCGAGTAGGGGTACAACTTACTAATACTAAGTAATTTTTACTTAGTATTAGTAAATTAATAGGGGGCGGACCGAACATCGCATATGTTCGCCATTTGTGGCGAACGCGAACACGCTATGTTCGCCATCTGTGGCGAACGCGAACACGCCATGTTCGCCATGAACTATTCGCCAGCGAACCGTTCGGGACATCACTATCAGTGACATAGTCAGGGATTAAAAAGAAAACCGTCTAATATTTGTATTTATTTCATTATGCAATGTAAAAATAATGATTACAAATCCAACAACTGCAACATAAAACTAGCAAAGAAGCGAAAAACAATATTTTATAAGAATTTTATAAATCAAATTTCAATTCACAATAATTTGGTGTTTCATTCTCAAAAAACGAAACAAGCGTTTATTGTACCATCTGCCATTCTGGTTTCTTTCATTTCTCCAGTTATCAGAATCGTGGATCCCTAGTCAGATAAGCCCCAAAGTAGACATGCTGCAGCTTCAGACAGACGGTGTCCTCTGCACTCACCCAAACTTTCACAGTTTTGTAGATAAATCCTAACAAGTACAAAGCACAGACTATATGGTGCAGTATCCTTTATTCCCAAAGATAAAAAGCATACTGAAATGCAATGTCCCCAACATAGTGTACTCACATACAACTGAGGGGTCTAGTGATTCATGGTTTTCTTTTCTTGACATTGTTTATTATTTGTATAAATAAGTTCTGGAATCATATTTTAATAAGGCTCCAGCAAGCAGCTATTTTAACTAATTACTGATGTACACTGCAGAAAGTGGGGATGTCTCTATATGGAATCATCCTTTAGCGATTATTCACAGCTCCCTGAGAAAGTGAGAACTAACTCATGAAATGCGTCGGAGCGGACAGTGAATGATCGCATATTTACACTTTAATGACTCTGGTGAGGTTCCATACCAGACTCCCATACAGCCGAGGAGACGACTGGATTTTACCTCCAGCACAACATTTGGGGGATTGGATTTTTGCATGATTTTTAGGTTTTTTATCTTTGGGAATAAAGGATACTGCGAAATTTAGTCTGTGCTTTGTGCTTTTTAGGGTATATCTACTAAACTGTTTTTAACACAATGTAGATGTTGAATTGCAGTCTGTAAAGTGACGTTTTAGAGCACACTTACCAGCTGAGGATCGATCTCTTCATTCAGCGTGGCTTCGTTCTTTATTAAAGCAACTCTTTGAGCAAATCGGCACGTGGAAATAGACTCCTAGAGAGACAAATCGTTACCATTTATATGAAAATCATGATGAAGTTCTTTATCGTCACCTGATTCAAAGGAGTAATATGCAATATTTTATGTGTTTCTGATTGCTGGAAACAGCGAATTAAATCGTGATCTGTCACTACCAGCAACTCACAAATAAAAATACCAAATGGCCTACCACACTGCTTCCATTACCGTTAGAGGATCTGTAAACAGTGGCGTCACAAGGAGGGTGTGGGGTGTGCGGACCAGGGTGTGCAGCACGAAGGGGGGACGGGGGGAGGGTGACACCCAGGACCGGCGCATCCTATAGGCGACTTAGGGGCGCCAGATTTGAGTTACCTGGTAGGATGGAAACGCACATCGCTCCCTCCTGCCAATCACTCATTGTAACGTGGCCAAGCAGCAGACTACAGTACAGGAGCATCTGTTTCCTGTACCCGGCCGGACTGACATGAAGTGCTCACTGAGAGAGCACTTCCTGTCAGTCCGGCTGGGTACAGGAAACAGAAGCTCCTGTACCACGGTTCGCCGCCCATGCCGCACTACAAAGATAAGTAGGAGCCACAAGAAGGAGGGAAGAGGAGGACCACCAAGAAGGGGGGGGAGAGTGAGGACCACTAAAGAGGGGGAAGTGGAGAGGTAGTACAACTAAGAGGGAGAGGGAGGTAGGACCACTGAGAGGGGCGGGGAAGGAGGAGAGAGAGAACCACTAAGGATTTGGGGCAGAGACAGGACCACTAATATGGGGGGGGGGTAGGGGAGAAACACTAAGGTGGGAAAGAGGAAGGACCACTAAGGGACAGTGAGGGGAGAGAAACACGAAGCTTATCACATGCAATCTTCCCATAAACGCTACATTCAAGGCAGCCTAATAACACAAATATGGTGGAATTTTTCACATACATCAATGTTCCTCTTGTCCAGCGATAGAGTTGCGATCATGGTGGTCATGCAGTTTCCCCCGAGGCTGTCTCTGAGCACCGAGGTCATCATGGAGTTTCTATATGGTATATGAGATCGGTTCTTTTCAGCCAATGCAATTATCACCTGCAACAATAAGAGAATTGGTCAGAGAATGTCATAACAGGGACAAATTGAAACTCATTTGCAGTAATTTAGCAAATGCCTGTGATGTGCTAAATAAAATACACAGGTTTACATTTCTTGTATTCCTTCCTTTCCTGATATAATTATATCAGAGCACTCTGATTAGTAGTTTTTTTCTAGGGAAATGATCACCAGTATAAACGATAAGTTTTAAATCTGTATAGTCGGACTGACAACTATCTTAGGTTGACGCCTGGATATGTACATCTGCTCATGCGTTTTTGTAGTTTTAGTCCAGTTTGAGTTAAGGAACAAATTGTTCAAATGTTGTCAGCATTATTTTACCAGACATGAAGCTTCAATGTCTGAAGCCTTTCCTACACACTAAAGTATAAGAACTGATATATTAGATGAGTTTCCTTTGCAAAAAAAAAACATCAGTACCAAAGATATGTGAATTTTGCCTGAAATGATGATTAATTTCCAAAATATCAGTCTAGGTGTGTTGTCCTCCGTATTCTGAAATATTTTCCATCAAATACTTCATACTTAAGATCCTACACTTGTTTGTATCTCACTATGTTTAAACAACTCGTTTCCCTTTAAACGTTCATAGAATAGAGACGAAGCCCAAAGCTGTTGTAATACTGGCGCATGAATTACACATTTAGATTTCTGTTACACTACAAGTACAACCAGATCTGGAATTGTTTATTCCCCCAAGGGGGTTTTCCTTGAAATAGGGCACTTATATCCAATGTGTGCGTTTACCTTGTAATGTCTCTAAATGATGAAGTTAATTTTCTCCCTAGTTGGAAGCTGCTTAACATTTTAACGTTTTATGTAAAGGATTATAAAACACAAGTACCCGCTGTGCTTGACACAGTAGCTAAGCACATTCAGAAGAAAGAATAGAGAGCCTGACAGCCAGAGGACTCTCACTGAATAATTTGAAAAACACAATTTAATCCACAATCTGGAACCTCCAGATTGGTCTGCGTCATGTCCAAGGCTGAGTCTATCTCTACCAGCCTTCTTTCCCTGCTACCTCGTAAGGCCATTATTTTAAAACAATTAGTGGATTTACATGGAAGTTTCAAATAACTGCAAATAGTCACATTAATAAAAATAGAGGAAAGAGAGTATGAGAAGGCTACGGACAAACAACAGAGTAGCTTTGTCTTTTCAATAATTATCCATATTCAGTTACGACAAGAAGACAGTGCAGCTAAATAAGAAATATTTACATGTTGTATTAAAAAGATTCAGAGGATTTGATGGTTCTACCTATTACTGGCCATTAGAGATGTCGCGAACCGTCCGCGAACATCTCGCGAACGGTTCGCCACGAGCTGTTCGCGGCGAACTCCGGTCAGCTGACACGTCCCGGCCAATCTCCAGCAGACCCTCCCTCCCAGACCTTCCTACTTACTGGACAACATGGATGCTGTCCAGGAAGTAGGAGGGCCTGGGAGGGAGGGTCTGCTGGAGATTGGCCGGGACATGTCAGCTGACCGGAGTTCGCCGCGAACAGCTCGTGGCGAACCGCGGCGAACCGTTCGCGAGATGTTCGCGGACGGTTCGCGACATCTCTACTGGCCATGACACGTATTAATAAACATAGCATTGGAAATAGCATCTGCTGTCAATGTTAAACGTAACATTGTAAGAATGCAATATAGAGATTTATAATATAGGCATGTAACAAAGAATGTAAATATAACTCATTGGGGGATATTTATCAAAATGTTCTGAAAAATTATAGTTACATTTCATCATTATTTTTTATTGTATTAAATAAAGTGTTCTTAGTCTAACAAATTAACATTTTCGTCATTGTAATTTCCACCCTGTTTTCTAATTCATTTCGGAAGACCGCCATGTTCATAGTTATTGAAAAAAAGAGAAGAGAAAAATGGTAGAAAGATTGCATTGCAAAACAAATGTCACCATTCAAAATTGATGGTAGGGGAAGCAAAAGGAGCAACAGACAAAAAAACAAAACTGAAAGACTTAAAGTTATCAAATACTTTAGAAGTAAAAGTGTTGATACAGTCTAAATTGTTCAGTTAATGGTCAGTAACGGCTAATATGTTCAGCCCTATGTTTCTCATGAGGGCTCAAAGCAGCACGTTAAACCTGAGTCAATTTAAAAGTACATTTATCAAAAGGAGCCTAATAATGTAAAGCAGGAGACAGGATGGTCCTTACCTGCTCAAGATAATGTAGTGATAAATTAATGTATTTAGCTTCCGTTAGCAGTTTGCCACCAACTCCACTTTTTGCGACACGTTCGGATCCAGCCAGGTCCACCAGGTGCAGTTTAGATCGTCGGATAGTGTCTGACCCAGGTTCTTTGCTAGATATGTGAATGGTGAAGATGCAGTGGGACCGAGTGGAAGCTTGATTCATTGGTGTCTAAAAAGGCAAAAATAACACATAGTGTTTACAATGGCCAGAAAGCTTCTGTTGCAGATATACCGGGGGGGGGTCACTATGATAATGTTCTGGATCTTTCTCCATAATTGCTTTCAATACTAAGAAATCTTTAAACTGTTTCATAGGAACGCTAGACCAGGAATCTCAGCGCCCCCACTCCCTACATAGATGCAGACACCGTTCAATCACCACGAGCTGGCATGCTACTTTTGTGTACGGTGACTACAACTTACCTGCTTGGAAACATTCAAGTATCCAGTGTAGAAAACAATACAGAAAGCTCTACACATCAGATTAATTCAAGCGAACAAACGACCCCAGCCAGCCACTAAATAGCTAAGCATAAATATGGCTTTAGAAACTTTTGCTGCTGGGAAACATTTCCCAGGAATCACCATTATGCATAAAAATAACAAATCAGAATGTAGGATGTCTGATAGTGAGTGGTGATGGTCATGGATATTGCGAAGGAGGGTTAATTAGACGTTTGAACCCTAGGACCTCCCATTACATAGCTACATAGTAATCTAGAATGAAGACAATTCATCAAGTTCAAACTCAAAGCCCTTTCTTTTATGCTTTTGATCCAAAAGAAGGCAAAAAAAACCAAACTTCATAATGGCAATCAGATTTCTCCTTGGATCAACAAACTGTTTAAATACATATTAATAATATAATTGAATATTCCCCTAATGCAAAAAAAAAAAAAAAAAAAAAAAAGAAACCTCTAAGAATCACTAGCCAGCTGCCTAGGGTACACCGGCCCAGGGGGTACAATCCTTGGGTGACCAGCAGGAGGGAATCACATAGCATTGCACTCCCCTCCTGCCGGTCACTGCATGTAGGGTAGCCAAAAGAATCGCATTATAGGATTCTTTATCCTCTACCTGGAAGTGCTCACTGTTTCCTATCAGACTGTGTAGAGGAAACAAAAGATCATTGTAGCAGACCACGGATAATCCGACTGATTACCTCTGCTAATTTATCTTCTCAGTCAGACTAGAACCATTAAACAAGCAGACATCCATTCCGCCAGTAAACAGACGAAATATAGTTCTGGGAGTCAACTAATTTTTTTCACACAAAGCTTTTATGCACAGACCCCTACATGGGGTATCCCACACAACAATAAAGGGTTTCTGTGACGGAACGCTGGCACTCCGACTGAGTACCTCCGCCAATCGATGCACCTAGTGCTCGCTGAGGACTTCAAGCACTCCAACCGACACTATCAGCACTGCAGACCCCACTTCCAGCGATGCAACTGCGCCGGGGTCTCTGCTGTCTCCACCCACCCTGGACCCAAGGCCAGGATCCAGCTTCCAGTGGGTGAACCTCTCTTTCCCCAGAGAGCAGGAACAGGAACAAGCTCTTAGCAGAACTTAGTGATCATACCCTGGGGAGTAAAGTGATTATAGCAATCCCAGAGTGTATTTCTCCAATCCCCCAAACATGAGCCAAGGCTTAATGCTGGAACAAGACTGATTTACTGGCACACAGAACTCACAATTTATGCAACACAAAACTCCTCCTCTGGGCCAGGCTAGATAATTGAGTTTCTACAATACACAAAGCTCAATTATCTGCTGGCCAGAAATAATACAGTTTTTACAGCCTTCATAACTTCTAAAATATACATCACATGGACCCCAAAACATGCAATAACCCCATAAAAAGTATATCCTTGGAACCGAGGGATCTGGGTGAACCACATATCCAAAATTCACCCAGATCTGTTCAATACTTTGGAAAATACAGTTTAATGCAGATTCTGCAGAACATATACAGGCTAAATGAAAAACAATCACTGTATAATGTGTCCCCTGCTGTATAGTCCAAAACCACTGCACGATGTCTCTGTGCACCAAATACTGACGAGATGGCACCGTGTTGAAAAGTCCAAACAGTGTCTGTGAGTTAAAATGGCCGCCATCCATTGTTCTCACCATGTGCTTCTGATACAGGAAATGGTGGCCACCCAGTAACTCCACAGTATGTCCCCAGATGGTTCTTAAAGGGCCAGCAGCAGCACAACACAAATCCATTATGCCCAAATCATGTCTTTAAAGGGCAATATATCCCAGAGGCCATAGTCACAGGGCAAGAGGCGGGCAAGCAGTCCTCTCCAGGCACAAGTGGCGAAGGGCACTTCGTCACAGTTTCCCTTCCCAGGGTCTTCTGTGCCTGAGAGATAATTGTGTGAGAAAAAAACTATAATTCAATTATCTCTCAGGTACAAAAAATCTATACAAAATATCCAGTACCCCAAAAGTACCCCATCATAACTAGGAACCGGACAAAAGCCCTGGTCTGAGTGTATAACCTGTCCAAAGATCTCTCAGATCGGTTAGGTGAAATTGGATCGCTACCGGGGGTAAAGTTTTGACTGGCTGGACACATGAGGATAGCCCAAAACAGTTCCAGGAAAATGGGTGTCCCGGCCGGTCTCTGTTCGGGGGTTCCTGTGCGAAAATCATGAAATGGTTCCCTTGCAGTTTCGCACTTAAGGTGGGAACATTTTAATGGGGTACCAGGGTGGTCCTCGTTCGGGAATTGAATGTAGAGTGTCCGTATACTATAGATCCTGAACGGAAAAAGATAAAACATCCAAATCTGGTGGTAGGTTCCGCCATAATCATCTACCGCAGTCCTGCAGCCACACTACATGGAGGCAAACAGGTGGTGGTAAGAAACCCCAAAGGGACGGAGAAAGAGAAACACACACAGAAGGTCTGGAGTAGACAAAGAGACACACGGGGGGGAGGGGAGGATAAAGAGACACACAGAGGGTCTGTGGGAACAATGAGATACACAAAGGGGCTGGGGAAAGGGACAATGACACACACAGAGGATCTAGAGAAGGGGACAGTGACACACAGAGTGGACCTAGGGAAGGGAACAGTGGCAAACACAGAGGGGATGAGAACTGGGGTAGAGAACAGTGACACACATAGAGGATCTAGGGAAGGGGACAGGGAAACATACAGGGGACAGGGAGGGGACAGTGACACACACAAAACGCTGGGGTAGGGGACAGTGACACACACAGAGGGGCTGAGGAAGGAGACAGTGACACACACAAAGGCTAGGGAAGGGGACAGTGACACACATAGAGGGACTAGAGAAGGGGAAAAAGAGACATAGACAGGGGCTGGGATGTAGAGATACACAGAGTGGTGTTGGAAGGGAAAAGAAGACTCATAAAGTTGGCAATTTTTGTTTTAGGGGTGCAAGTAGCTAATCTTGCCACAAAATAGTCTAGTACCAGTCCTGCCTGAAAGGTCCTATGCTGACAGTATAGACTGGAAGTGCTGTATCCTTTCATAGCTTGACATGTGAAATTCTTATTGGGCAACCACATGGGAATGACATCATTAACCAAGAATATTTGATCAAGATTTGTGTGGTAAGTGGATTTTGGCATAACTTACATTTTTAAAAATATATTTGTTTAGGGAATAATAGGTCTTGTATTTCTTACAAAAATAAACTTCTATGCAGATTTGTCATGCTTTTGTTTTTAGGATAACATTCTTTACTAAAAAAGCTGCTCAGTTTTAATTTATTTTTTTAATGCAGGGGCATTCGGAAAACACTGGCTTTTGGCCCTGTCATCACTAAAAATGATAATTGGCTTAGATAGACACATAACTTCAGGGCCAGATTAAGAGCCCAGTGGGCCTGGTGCTGACAATTATGACGGGCCTAATTACAGAATCTTATCGACTGATAACACTAAAACACTCCCAAGCGTCATGTATCTGATGGAGATGGTGCTGGACGGAAAGAAATAAGCAGCTATAAGAAAACACATACCCTAGGCTAATCTCTCTCTAATTTATGTTTTCATTGTTCAAATAAATCCATAACCCCTAACAGCAGTGTCCAGTCAAGCAGGAAGTCAATGGGCACGATAAAAGGGTGTGCCACTGACACAAATCACTTAACCTGCCAAAAGGGACAAACATGCCCAAGAGTTGGAAGGCCAGCCTGGCATGAATGCATGTCAGGCTGCCTGCCAATCATGCAGCTGGCCAACTAAGGGCATACTATGCAGACAGCACCCTGAGCTTGGCATAGATGCATCTAATGATGCGCTCGCTCAACGCTTTATAAAGGACTGTCCCCTAGCATTCGCTGATCCACTTGTCTCCTTACCTTCTTACTAGCAGGCAGATGCTCCTGGTATATAGTCTGGGACAGAGAAAAGCTGTATGTAGTGAGTGTAGAAGAAAGGGAACATGCCACAGTGTTAGAGAGACCAAAGTCAGCATTACCTAAACTATATTCATTGTCAGCCAGTCCACACAAGTGTTGTTCCCATCCCTCTTAATTTCTATACTTAAGCAAGAGTATGTGAAAAGTAGTTAGGGTTGCCACCTTTGTTGGAAAAACATACCGGCCTTACTAATTTGCATAAATAATTAGGTATGGGTGACATCACATGATGTAAATCACAAGGAGTGACATAAGAGAAAATGCTGTAAAATCTCCAAAAAACTACTTGGTTTGATTCTGCTGTACGGGATTGCTCCCAGTGTCCCAGAGGGCACCCCATGTTTCCCAGTGCCCTCATGACTCAGTGTCCCCATGTGTCGATTACCCCAGGTCTCAGTGATCCATGTCTCCTTGTGTCCCCCAATATTCCGATGTGTCTATGTCCCCATGTTTTCCAGGGTTCCCATGTCACTAGGAACACGGGGAGACCTGGGGACACTGGGAGACTAGGGGACACTGGCTGGGACACATGGGGATACTGGGAAAATAGGGGACACTTGAAGACATGGGGACACAAACACTAGGGACACTGACTGGGGGACATGGGGACACTGAGACACCAGGGACACAGACACTAGGGACACTGGCTGGGGGACATGGGGACACTGAGACACTAGGGACACAGACACTAGGGACACTGGCTGGGAGACATGGGGACATTGAGACACTTGGGGGCACTGGGAGACATAGTGGCACTATGAGACATGGGGACACTAAGACACTGGGAGACTAGGGGGCACTGGGAGACATGGGGACACGGAGACACCAGGGACACTGGCTGGGAGACATGGGAACACTGGGAGACATGGGGACACTGTGTCCCCATGTGTCTCTGTGTCCCCAAGTGTCTGTGTCATAATGTCTCCCGATGCCCCTTAGTGTCTCAGTGTATGTCTCATTGCAGCCTTTCCCCCTCATCCCTCACTTTTCTGAGCTGTAGGCTGTATCTGCAGGGCGGGAGTTGCTGTCTGGACTCTCTGGACTGCTCCCCTGTGGATCAGTGAGGTAGGGATATGCTGGGACTTCCTATCCCTGCCTCTCTCCACACAAACTCTCTCCCTACTGGCCAGTCCTGGTATTGCATTGAAATCTCTGTTTATACTGAGAAAAATACGAGCATTTGTATTGCCAGTATGACTGCGATATCGGCAACGGCCAGGCAGCCTCAAATACTGGCTGTGCCAATAAAATACCAGCCAGGTGGAAACCCTAGTGTGATTTTTTTTTTAAATCAATGGGCCTATTCCACAGGCCTGGGCCTGGAGCTGCAGCTCCATCAGCCCCTATGTTAATCCGGCCCTGCATAACTTCATTGATAGAATATGGCGTATACTGCGCCCACAATCATACGTACATACAACTGCAGAAGAGGAGGCTGTTAAATACCTGGTTCCACGCTGCTCTGATCCCTATAACTTCACTGACTGCTGAGCTCAGCCAACAGTCAAGATACACATGTGAAATTTTAAGCAAAGATGGAAAGCTTAGTCACTGGAAGTTAATTAACATTCCCAATTAACTTTATTGGCGAAATAAAGAATTCCTTAAAATAACAAGAAAATGGCATGCATTGTTGAAAAAAAAAAAAAAAAACAGGACTAAAGTTAATTGACACTGAAATTAAAGGATCAATCTAAACATACAGCCAGTATTAGATCATATGTTGTGATGGAAATACATAGACAGACAGACACACACACACACACACAAGAACCACGCTTCCATTTAACATACTCTAAGTTAAAGGAATCCCCATTGAATTGCTTCTATAATTTTTACATAACAAGTTATCAATTAACATAGTAACATGTTTCCCTTTGTCAAAAGGGGTACTTTGAAAACACAGAAGTTGGGGTCTCGGAAAAAGAAGTGTCAGTGTTTAAAGTCCAAGGTTAGAAGATAAGCAATACCTTGGAATACGGAGGGAGAAACATGACTAGAATACATACCATATCACTATACTATCACTAAGGACAAGACGTTATCTGTGTTTTTGTTTTTAAACTTAAATACAATCTAAAAACATCTGGGAAATATTAAACTGTGATGCAGGATTCCTATAACAGTCACATAAAAATGTATTGTTAGGATTTATTTTTCTTAATTAGTGCAATCTTGCCAGATACACACATGTTGCCCGTGGCAGACTCAGTGAGTGACTGGAGCGTTTTGGGGCCCCTTAACTCATTTAAAATGCTGGAGTTCCATTAGTTGATTGTACAGGAAGCCATTCCATTAGTTGAGGTTCAGTCATGTGGCCTTCTCTCCTAGAACTTTGTTACAAAGTGTCAGGATGAAGATTTTTTTTAAAATAATTCAGGGCTGTTGGGGGGAGGTCGAGAGGGATAAAGATTTCCAAATACATGCAAGCACTTTTACAAGTTGTATGTAAAAGATAATCATGAAATTTATGATTCCAGTCCACTAATTTACTACGGAACGGCTAGAGTTAGGGTTGTTAGGTTCGTTTTTTTATGAACACCTTGATAGCAGAGGGGAATAAAGCAATTATGGTTTCAGGTATAGGACTGGTCTGTTAATGAGCAGGAGCAGAAAGCAGAACAAGTACTAGTTAATCAACCCAATCAATAAACATGTCTCCTGGCCCGCTCTTTATTATTATTATTATTATTATTATTATTATTATTGCCATTTATATAGCGCTCTTCTTTCATGATTCTCTTTATGTCTCTCTCTGTAGTGGAGAAGGATTCTAACCTCTATGCCACCTGCTTCTTTTGTCCAAACTGCCTTCCAGTCTTAACAGAATTCACATGATCAACATGACCATGTAGATCCACAATGTCATACTGTTGGTCTAGTGGTTCTCCAATGTCATACTTGGTTATCAAGCCCATTTTGAACATTGTTTCAGTAGTATGACATGTAGTCACCGTAACGGACACCTAGTACTCCGGTTCAGTACCTCTGTTACTTCTTGGCTTCCTTTACTATTTCCGGACAATCTGGTATCACCTTGCCCGGTTGAAGTACTCTATGCTAATGGGAGCACACAGATGCACATCTAGAAGTAATCTGACCAGCATTCGTAGGTGAAATGCAGTAATGAGTAATCATAGAAGTGGTTATAGCACTAGTAGGGGTCAAAACAGAACTGAGTTTATTGCAGCTATGTGCTGAGGGTCGTTCGCATATAATGGTGTAATAGTACATACAGTTCCCAATCAAGTCCTCTTCCCATAACTTCTTGCTTTTCTTGCTGAAAACAACCCTCAGCCCCACCAGAAACAGACAAATACTCAGCACCATGTTGTCCATATCACTCATCTTAACCAAAATATATGGAAAGAATACAAACATCCTTGTAATTTATTAGAGCAACATGCCCATTGAACATCATTCAAACAACCTGAAATAAACATATTTTATGAACACAAAGGAGGCCCCTGCCCTGCAATCCTGGGTCCATGACAGTCACTCCTTGGTCTTCTTTTCCTTCTCCTCCACCTTCCGTGTGCTCTATCTCTGCATTATTTCTGTTTTATTTCTTTACAGTGAAATGTTTTCTTGTTGTTTGTTTACCCAAAGCACATGAATATTTTACAAAATGTTTATGTGGTTTTTTTTTTATACCTAAAATCCTTTTAAAAAAAAAAGTAAAATTAAGAAATTACAGACAAAATATAAAGTTTATTTTTTAGGGACATTTACTATAATTTTAACCTCCGAAGACAGGACAAAGGGTGACTGTGTATTTTCCATTATTTGCATTAAATGAATTACAATGAAATGTTTATTCTTCATTGTTTTTAATTGTTCTTTTTTGCTAAAGTAGCACAGGCGTAAATAAAAGATAAGAGGACATCACTGGGCACTGAGGCTAACTTAAGAGCAAGCATTAGCCTTGTTTATTAACAAACCACTTTATAGATGAATTCATGTTCTAAGGGAAATAGATCAAATTCCCGAACCTAATGTGTATTAAGCGTTGATTGTCTGTGTTTACAAGGGATAGAAGTTCTCAATTAATTAGGAATAAACAATATCAGCAATTAAAGATCTTGTCTAGTCAGGGGGCTTTGCCGAAATCCAATCTCAGACAAAATTTCTTCATGTTTTCTGCTGAAATAAATTCATCACTCTTCAGTTCTTTCCGTACCCTTGGAAAATCTAAAATGCAACCCTAGCTAATTTTAATTCTCTTGAAAATCATTTGCTGCACATGTTCGTTATTAAATAAACATAAAGCCTATGAGTAAAACCACTTCAATAGTGGCCAGTATGTCTGAAAGAACCCTGAACAATAAGAGATGCTCTGATCTTTTTAGATGCCAACATGTGTTCCCCATGCATTGTCCAAGCACACAGCATATACCCCTGACAACTCAATGCCTTATGCATGTAAGCCATGACGTAACCGTGCACCAATAACAGTCTCTGAATGAAAACACAAGGAAAGTAAAACTATGGCACCAGGTTTTAATATGTATATAAAACACAAAAAGCTGAAAAAAGCCTACTTCTGTGCTCCTTATGTTCTCTTAGAAAGAAATTTGGAAAGTTCAGCTGTGTCCTTCAAACATCGTATTGTTTCAGTAATTTTACTCAGATGTGAAATCAGAGAATGAATTTAAAAGCTATTATAAATGTACTTCTGTTTGCCACGTAAACCCTAAAAAATGGGTATTTCCTGGAGATAATTGACACCAGCACCTCAGGAGAAACAAAATACTTACGTATTTTAAAAATATATAAACCGGCATACAATGCAGCCGACAATGGCGGTTTGCAAACCCACGTTGCACGTTTTGAAATTCTGTAAAAAGCATTCTGCACCATGACTGTGAAGTAAGTCACACACCCGCAAACTAGAACATTTTAGATTAAACATCTTTTGAACTACACATTTGCGATGACAATGACACAAGTGTATGTTTTGTTGTACAGTTATGTATGGGTAACAGACAAAAATAAAGGAAGATTTAGAGCCACTAAGCACATTCTGATTGGCACAGTGTATTATTCATCAGACAATCTGTCATAATAAAAATAGCTGCACACGTAAATGGTTACAGCTTTAAATTTGCTTGAATGTAAAAAAAAACGTTTCTGCAGAAACATTCTCTGATTTTACTTAAAACAAGGCCATTTTAAAGGGGAGATCTTGGTTGCAACATGCACTTTTGTTAATGCATCTGAATAATGCAATTGCAAAAAAAAAGTAGTCTACTTACTAGTCTCAGAATGTCATTCCCTAACTGCCTAAAACCATACATTTTCTTGTTGTACACTGACCAATCAAGTGTTTCCCTTAGACATCAAATGTGGACACGGAAAGCATAATTTAAATTATGGGTAACTTACTCAAATGACATTTTAATGAATACAACCCAAATAAATCTAGAGTAACCCTGTGGTGTAAAACGTTGTTTGTTCTGGTGCAGCCGTTGATGAATTCTCTATGTGTGATATGTATCACAGCGCACACACAGGAGACTGCAGACACACACGCACACGCACACACACACACACACGCACACACAGGAGACTGCAGACAGGAAATCCTTTTTGCTGATTATATATTTGTGAACACTTCGTAACTTTAATCAGTGAGATGAGAAAGACTTTATCCTTCACCAACTGTAAGTTCTAGGAGAACATACTGAGGCTGAACCTAAGGTAGGTACCAAAATGCCTCTTATTTTCAGTTAGTGTGTAGGTAGGCCGCGCAAGTCACAGCTATTCACCTGTGTCCCTAGGGATACAGAAATAAAGTCATCTAACGCCTAAATGGCAGATAACTGAACTGCGCGGCCATGATCTGAACACCAAATCCACTTAATTAGGTTGATGCGGTTTTGTTGCTTAGACTGATAAGAAATGCAATCATAATAAGAGCCGTGAAACAGGTCTCACCTCTGCTATCATGCGGTTTGTGTCTCCAAGAAAGAGCAGATTTAATGCTTCCTCCTCGTTATTCGCTTGTTGAAGAGACAAGTTCTTCAGGTGAATGTTCTGATCAGGATCTTCCATTATGGTCACTTTCCTGGACAGTAAAATAATAAAACAAACCATTATTGAAATCCATGAGAATTTGGAAGCAGATCTGCAAACAGGGTATTATTATTATTTTGAATGTTTATCAGTCACTCCTTCAATTACCACCCTGCCATCGTCAACCTACCTGCTAGCTTTAGGTTTATACGGAAGCACGGAACTGTAATAACACTACACTGTTATAAGGACAGCTTTACTATAATTACAATCAAAATCACGAACTTGTATAAACAGTGACAGTCATAAAGGGTAAATGTAATTTCTTTGCAAATGTTACCATTGGATAAAACAATGAAAATCCCCCTTAATGTGTGTGTTAATATTTCTCATAGAATGCTTCATTTAATTTTAAATATATATTGAAGATACAGCAACCGCCATCACAATCCAGTTCAGTCCTGGCACACCAGGGCACATATTGCATTCCAATATGAGAACGATACATTGTTTCTGGTTTTCTTCCTCTATCTATGCTGAATGACTCCACAAAGGGCGGAGCTTATAACAGTGATTGACAAGGAGCCAAGATGCAGGTGCCCGGCATTGTGGGTTTCTACATTTATTCTTTTTTTAAACCTCACAAACACAGATTTGTTAAATAAATGGATAAGAGGATATTATTCTAAAGATCCTGGAAATTAACAATTCTCTTTCAGTCTGAGTCTGTCTTAGACATACAGCACTTTCATCCAGGTTATAAATAAAAGTATTTTAATCAATGCAGAAAAAGGACAACGATAGAATCTAAATGAGCCCTGATGCCAAGTAGAACTATTCACAGAGGGTATTCACAGCTCGTACACTGTGAGACGTGCAGGAGTCCAGTATTTACTGAAACTGAGCGTTACGCAGAGCTCTATGTCATCACTATAATAAGGACATATTAAGGAAAACATATTGCAATGGCTGGTGGAATTAACCATTCCAGCAAAACCGTTCTGAAATCCACAGCTTGCTATTCTAGGTCACAAACGGTTAAACTGCAAGCCTGTCATATGAAGTGGCATTAAGGAAACTGTCACTACTTGTCAACACAGTGATAGATTGATGGATAATGCCATGCAGAACACGGAGACAGTGATAGATTGATGGATAATGACATGCACAACACCGAGACAGTGATAGATTGATGGATAATGCCATGCAGAACACGGAGACAGTGATAGATTGATGGATAATGACATGCACAACACCGAGACAGTGATAGATTGATGGATAATGCCACGCAGAACACTGAGACAGTGATAGATTGATGGATAATGCTATGAAGAACACTGAGACAGCGATAGATTGATGGATAATGCCATGCAGAACACTGAGACAGTGATAGATTGATGGATAATGCCATGCAGAACACAGTGATCGATTGATGGATAATGCCATGCAGAACACTGAGACAGTGATAGATTGATGGATAATGCCATGCAGAACACTGAGACAGTGATAGATTGATGGATAATGCCACGCAGAACACTGAGACAGTGATAGATTGATGGATAATGCCATGCAGAACACCGAGACAGTGATAGATTGATGGATAATGCCACGCAGAACACTGAGACAGTGATAGATTGATGGATAATGCCACGCAGAACACCGAGACAGTGATAGATTGATGGATAATGCCATGCAGAACACCGAGACAGTGATAGATTGATGGATAATAATGCCATGCAGAACACCGAGACAGTGATAGATTGATGGATAATAATGCCATGCAGAACACTGAGACAGTGATAGATTGATGGATAATGCCATGCAGAACACCGAGACAGTGATAGATTGATGGATAATGCCATGCAGAACACCGAGACAGTGATAGATTGATGGATAATGCCATGCAGAACACCGAGACAGTGATAGATTGATGGATAATGCCATGCAGAACACGGAGACAGTGATAGATTGATGGATAATGCCATGCAGACACGAGACAGTGATAGATTGATGGATAATGCCAGCAGAACACCAGATAGATTGATGGATAATGCCATGCAGAACACGAGACAGTGATAGATTGATGGATAATGCCATGCAGAACACTGAGACAGTGATAGATTGATGGATAATGCCATGCAGAACACTGAGACAGTGATAGATTGATGGATAATGCCACGCAGAACACCGAGACAGTAATAGATTGATGGATAATGCCACGCAGAACACTGAGACAGTCATAGATTGATGGATAATGCCATGCAGACACTGAGACAGTGATAGATTGATGGATAATGCCACGCAGAACACTGAGACAGTGATAGATTGATGGATAATGCCATGCAGAACACTGAGACAGTGATAGATTGATGGATAATGCCACGCAGAACACGGAGACAGTGATAGATTGATGGATAATGCCACGCAGAACACTGAGACAGTGATAGATTGATGGATAATGCCATGCAGAACACTGAGACAGTGATAGATTGATGGATAATGCCATGCAGAACACTGAGAAGGTGATAGATTGATGGATAATGCCATGCAGAACACAGAGACAGTACTAGATTGATGGATAATGACATGCACAACACTGATCAATCCATTAATTAAGGGATCTGCAGCCGAGGCAGCAGAAACTGCTCTAGAAAGTCAATGCCAAGAAAATCATCATTTTATGGGACCACAAAAAGAATCCTATGAGTCTATCATTTCAAATGGAAAGAGAGGGACACGTTAATTGTAGGGGAGTGAGTGGAGGTATGGCCAGGGGCAGAGCTGTTCTGGGTGTGAGCTGTTCAGGGGGTACCTGGCAGAGCTGTTCAGGTACGGGGCTGTTCTGAGGGTACGGCCAGGAACGGGGCTGTTCTAAGTGTGAGTAGGGGTGTGGCCAGGGGTAGGGCTGTTCTGGGTGTGAGTGGGGGGTATGCCCATGGATTATTATTATAATGTTATTATTTATAAAGTGCCACAAATTCCGCAGCGCTTTACAATGGGTGGACGAACAGACATGTATTTGTAACCAGACAAGTTGGACAAACAGGAGCAGAGGGGTTGAGGGTCCTGCTCAATGAGCTTACATGCTAGAGGGAGTGGGGTAAAGTGACACAAAAGGTAAGGATGGTATTAGAATAATGACAGTTGCAAGAGAGGAATCAGTGGGGAGCTATTAACAGTTTAATTGATACGCTTTTATGAAGAAGTGGGTTTCTGTTCTGAGTGTGGGGGGGGGGGGCAGGGGCAGGGCTGTTCTGGGTTTAAGTAAGGCCAGGAACAGGGCTGTTCTGAGTGTGAGTGGGGGTGAGGCCAAGGTGCTGGCTGTTCTGGGTGTGTGTGGTCAAGGCTAGTGTGATGAAAGTAACATTGTCACTGGTTTTTGGAGGGACCTGTTTGCCAGCCTCCTACCCTGTGACTATGGCCCCTGCAATAGACCTGGCTAAAATATTTTAAGCAGGCTCTGTTTGTGCAATTGGGACTATATGGTTTGTTTACCAAACAGTCGCATGAACCGGAGACCACCCTGGAGCTTGTTAAGGTTAATTGATACATTGTTGCAATTTCCACCGCAGTAGTCTAAGTGTTTGTCTGGGTGGCCACAATTTCTATGGCCGACCATGAGATGGCGGCCATCTTGTTCGCATGGACGAAAACCGCAAATAGACTTCAGGGGAACTTAGCCGCGAATGCACTGGAACTATTTTCGGCATGAAAACCTTGCGGTTCCCGGTCGGTCCTCCAGCGGCACTTAGCTGCGATTCTATGGAACTATTTTCGGCTATGGGACTATGCCTGCGGTCGGTCAAATAAATGACTTTCAGGAAATTCCTGAACCCCTGAAATTCCACAGATAGCCCTGATCTGGGTGACCAACATATCCAAAAATCACCCAGATCAGGGCTATCAGGGGATGTAACATGGGGTTTTATGTATTTTTAGGGTACTTTTGGGGTGGTTTTTTTCTGTGCTTGGAGATAATTGGATTAGAATTAGTACAGTTACTGATCCAATTATCTCCCAAGCAGGGAGGAGGGGTTGTATGTTTGTTATGGGAGTGTCGGGTATATAATCACTGTTCTTATTGGTCTGTGTCTTTGTGTTGGAGTTCTCAACAAGGTTCATGTGGGCGTACCCCTTGCATATGGATTGTCATAAAAGGCCAAGTGTGGCTCTCATTAAATTGAGATTTCGTTTACCCCTTCATGAAGTCTTGGCTCATGTTTGCGGGATTGGAGAACTACATTCACTGTGGGGATTGCTATATCACAATACTCCCTTGATTCCTGCTACACTCTCTGGACTTTGTGAAAGGAGGAGACCTAGCCAGCATTGAAGGATACTCAGCACTGGAAAGAGGTAAATGAAAAAAGGGTTTTTAATCCTTTAAACATCAGACAGTGTGACCCTATTTTGTTAGGGACACTATAGCCAGCGCTGTATCTAGTGTGAGGCTGACAAGGCATTTGCCTTGGGCGTCACTTCCAGGGTGTCGGCAAAAAAAGCCGCCAAACGCCCTGGCAAATGCCTTGCCAGTCTCTTGTCTTGGGGGGACATAGGAGCTGGCCAGCTGGCCACCTCAGGGCACCCCTGAGGCTGGCATGCGCTAATGTTTCATGTTAGTGTGTCTGTTAGTGTGTGATCTGTTAGTGAGTGTGTTAGTGTGTGTCTGTTAGTGAGTGTGTGTGAGTCTGTGAGTGTCAGTGTGTGTCTGCTAGTGTAAGTGTGTATGTGTTAGTGAGTGTGTGTCTGTCACTGAGAGTGAATATGTGTTTGTCAGTGAGTGTTTATGAGTGTTTCTTAGTGAGAGTGTATACGTGTTTTTCAGTGAGTCTGCATGTGTCTGTCGGTGAATGCATATCTGTCAGTTAGTGTATATGTGTGTCTGTCGATGTATGTGTGTACCTGTGAGTTTAACTGTGAATGAGTGAGTATGTGTGTCTGTGAATGTGTGTTTCAGTGAAAGTGTGTGTTGGTTAAACATTGTGTGTGATAATGACTGTGTATCTGTGAGTGTATGTCAGTGCATGCATCAATGAGGGAGTGTGTCTGTCAGGAAGAGAAATTTGGAAGGGGCGATGGGGGTGCCTGAGTTTTGTCATGCCTAGGGTCGCACAAAACCAGAATACACCACTGACTATAGCATCAGGAGCTCTGTTATACACTCAGACACTCCAACAATATGGAGCTCCTAGAAAAGAGGGACATTAGAATAGAAAAGATAGAAAAGAGGGACAGAGGGATTTGGTTGTAAAATAGGGACTGTCCCACCTAAACACGGACACATGGGAGGAATGGTCTAGTCAGGTGTGAAGCCTTTACTGCTCTGCATCTACAGGAGTGTAAATAATCAAAGACATGCAAAGAGTTAATATGTAAGTAAAATGTTAAATGATAGATAGAAGTAAAGCAGTTTGGATTATGTTGGTTGATGTGCACAGCTCATAATTGTTACTGTTATTTTTTATCTCTTTAAATGTCCCTTAATGGCCAAGCTGGATTGAAAGCTGTGAACCCCTCCCATCTGTTTTGAAGCACTGGATTCCTAACAAAACAATTACATGGTCAACTGAAATCAGAGCCAGTAATTTGCTCTATAAAAATGCCTATTTTTATTTTCCTCTGGTTAGATTTGTGGAGGAGTGGCAATCAGCAAATCTAGCTGCTTGCTTTCCAAGTCCGACAGCTGTGTGGGAGAGAACCAACTCCAATACCTTCACTTATATCATAAGTACAGGCGTGTGTAACCACCATACACAGTGTTATTGTAGGGAGGTTTGTCTTTTACCTTTTCCATACTATATGGGTGTTATCATGTGGTTACAGAAAGGAGCTACTGTTTCTTTTTTTTTCTTTCAATAAAAGTTTATTGATTTTTTTCAAGTCAAAAAAAGAGGTGGTACAGAAAGGAAGAGGGGAACATATATAGTGCAATACAAAAAGGGTGTAGCATACATGGTACATCTCCGCCAAGCACATGTATCATCGACATGAATAGTACGTTTTCTTTACCTAATGGAAGGTATACATAAATGTAGACATGAGTGGTTGTACAGTTTCTTTTCCCTTAATTTTTGTTTGTGTATCTTCTAACGGTGGTAACAGGGTAACTTGGGGACAGAAAGAAGAAGAGGAAGGCAAAGGGAGGGTGATATCTCACTTTTAATGTGATGACCTGTTGCAGTGTTTACTGAAGCACAGTTCACTCACTTTGTGGGGATAGGTGAGTAGCTTGGTTCCCGTATTATTCCCTATATTCTAACTCGGGTTTCCAAGGGTGTTTAGAGTGTGTTGGGGTTGCAATGTATTAGTAAGATGTCTGTAGCGGAACGCCAATAATAAATCCACGAATTCCGCTGGTTCAGGACATAATCCACAGTCAAGCGTTGAAACAACAAGGCAATATCCCCAACCTCCCAGTAACCGGACGAGACACAGTTCTGAGAGTCAACTGAAATCCTTTTAATCGGCAGGACAATTTATACAAGTCCCCATGCAAGGGGTTTCCTTAGTCCCTCCCCAGGGGCACTCCCAGAGGGGACTACATGGGGGACTTACATTACAGCATATTTCTCCCATCAGGCACCGCTGCACGAGAGGGATCATCTTCCCAGAATGCACCGTTAAGTGGATTATCCCCTCGTGCAGCAGAACCGACAATTCACACAAAAATCCATAACTTGTCAAATATATGGTGGATTTACACGAATGGACGTTCGGTAGATAGCTGGGGTCTGAGCGCATCATTCGTGAGATTACCGCTCAGATCTCAGCTAAAATAACCGAACGCCGCACGAAAGACAGATTTCTGATAAAACATGTAAAAAGAACCGATTGCTTGCAGGGAACAAAATACCGAATGTCCCGAAACTCCCGAACGTCCTGGAGGCTCAGCGGTGTTCGTGCCGTCGAGTATCCGTTTTTAGTACCATGCGTTCGACGACCTAGCACCGCTGAGGGAACAAAGGATCCAAGATGGCCGACCGCCGCATGGTCGGTAGTCGAACGACGGCCACCCAGGAGAGCCTCTAATAACCGATTGCAACATTGTTGCAATCGGTTAACTAGCGCCACACGCCTCTAAGTGTGTGGGCTATTAGGGGGTATTGCGTTCGGTTCACGAACGGCCCTCCAAAGTGCCGTTCGTGAAACGAAAGAAAATCCCCATACAACACCGCCATTTGCATTCGGCAAAAGGCAATGCAGAACATACATAAAGCATACACATACAGAATGAAGCACCTATCTCTCTAGACATACAGGCAACCCTTAAAGGCACAGTCTCTTTGTATTGTCCAAGTGGCTAGGTTTGCCACAATGTCACTCATTGAGTCATATATATAGTAATGGTGGATCTTCTCTATAAGCTGTGTGTATGACACATTGTCTGTTTCCATGAGGATGCTATGTGATTGCGTGCTGCCAATACGATATGGGCTGCCAATTTTCTGCTTGCTAGTGGGGTTAGTGGCGGGAATGAGAGGAAAAGACAGGTCGTTGCTGTGACGGGGATATCACTTAGGTGCATGTTTTAAAAAATTTAAGTGGACTCAGGAACATAATTCCCGCATGGTGGGACAAGACCACCATATATGCGTCATGGTGCCTTCTTCCACACCGCACCTCCAGCAAGTAGCTGGTGTTGTCGAAAAGATCTTGTGTAGGTGACTGGGAGTGACGTGCCACCTATATATTAGTTTTCTATGCGCTTCTACGTGCGAGTAGCATGTAGTTAAGCCATTCAGGGCAAGGGTTATATTTTTCCATTGTTTGGTGTCTAGGGTTGTGTCGCATTAATTTCACCCACTGGGCAACGAAAGAGAATTCTTGGTGGGGTAGAGAATCCAGTATGGCGTAACATAGTGAGAGGGCTTTGGGCATAATGGGTGTTGTGCAGCACCGTTTGTACATCAATGCTACGTAATTCTTAGTGACCATAGGTGATGTCCCCAAATGGTGAATCTGATTGTGTAGTATGCTCCGTAGTTGGAAATAGTAGAAGACATATGAGTTTGATATCATGTAGCTTGCCTGTAGTTCCTGGAAAGTTTGGTATGGTCTAAGACAGGGGTTCTCAACCCAGTCATCAGGAGCCCCTACCAGTCCAGGATTTGGGGATTACCTGGATGTGTCTCAGGTGTTTAGAAAAAGGGAAAAAAACACCTTAGACTCTAAGGTGTTTTTTTTTTTCTTTTTCTAAACACCTTAGACACACACAGGTAATCCCTAAACCCTGGACTGGTAGGGGGTCCTGAGGACTAACGTTGAGAACCCCTGGTCTAAGAGGTGTTCTAGGTGTGTGATACCTAGCTTTTGCCACATGTTGATATTCAACCCTTGTGTATTGTATTTTAGGGCAGAGATAGGTGCCCCGGGTGGAATTTGTCCACATGCCCATGTGTTTGCCTCAAGTGGTCCCATATACGAATTGTTTCCCGTGTCAGCGGTAATAATGTATTAGTGGATAACCTAAGGTGTTTTGGTGTCCATAGCATGTCAGTGAGAGCGTTTGTGGGGGTGAATTTATTTTCTATGTCTACCCACTGTAAGGTATCTGGTCGTGCATGTAGTTTGATAGCATTTTCTAAAATGGAAGCTCTATGGTATCCCATGATATTAGGGAAGCAAAGGCCTCCTTCACGTGATCTAGTTTGTAACAAGCCGAGTGACAATCTTGTTTTTTTCTTCTCCCATATGAATAGTGATAGTGTGGTCTGTATCTGTTCGCATAAAGATGAGGATAACGATAAGGGGAGCATACAAAATATGTATAGAACTTTCGGGAGGATCATCATCTTTACAGTATTGATTTTGCCAAGCCAGCTTAGGTTAATTTTTGATGGTGGGCACCATTGGTCCATGGTTTAGGTTTATAATCTGTCGGTATGTGGTAGCTGTTTTCACTCCTAGGTATGTGATATGTGTATGCCTCCAGTCGAGGTTGTGTGCAGCTTTCAATGTGTGGATCTGTGTGTTGGGAAGGCGTATTGGAAGCGCTTGTGTCTTTTCTTTGTTGAGTTTATAGTCTGACACTGTACTATATTCCCTAAGAGTATGTAAAAGGCTGGAAGGGATTCGGTGGGGTTGCCAAGTGTTAGTAAGATGTCATCCGCAAACATCGAGTGGCGGCACTCCATAGATTGTATGCCAATAACCTCAATGCTCGGGTGATGACTGATTCGGTATGCCAGCAGTTCCAGGCTTAGGATAAAAAGCAATGGCGACAAGGAGTAACCCTGACACGTACCATTTGTAATGTGGAACGGTTTAGAAATAAATCCCGCATTTACCACTTGCGCTGAGGGGCTTTTATGCAGAGCCATTACTCCAGCTAGAAAGGAAGGTGGAAAACCATACTTAATGAGCACCTGTTCCATGTATTGCCAGTTAAAGCGATCAAAGCCCTTCTCAGCATCTAGTGCAGGAGAAGGCCTCACAGGTTCTCTGTTTCCATATGAGCCAAGATATCCAATATTTTCCTGGTGTTATCCGACCCCTGTCTAGTTTTGACAAAGTCGGATTGATCATTATGGATGACTCCAGTGAGGATTTGAGAGAGTCTGTTGGCGAGGATTTTATAACTTGATGTCGCAATTGAGCAAAGAAATGGGCCTGAAGTTTTGGCAGGTTGTGGGGGTCTTACCGGGTTTTGGTAATGTGGATATGTGCGCCTTTAACATCTCAGAGGGCATCATACCTGTTGAGTAGCAATGGTTAAATAGTGTGGTCATGTTTGGTATAAGGTCACCTGCAAAGGTTTGGTAATATAGGTTAGTAAACCCGTCTGGACCTGGGGATTTATGCATTGGTAGCTTATGGATAGCTTGTGCTATGTATACAGCTGTAAATGGTTGAGAGAGGAGTTCTAGTTCATCAGGCAGTAGGCTCCTAAAGAGTCATTGGTCATTGAGTCTTGGGGAGTTGGGATACCAGTGGAAATAGAAAGGATGATAAAAAATAAAAACTGAACTATGTTCACAAAACCATGTAGGTGCTTGGCACCTATGTAATAGGTATGACAAGGTGGCCCCATGGAGCCAATGGGGGGAGGGATAAGGGCTATGGGAATTCATTTGCCCTCTGGTGAGTGTGTGGTGGGCCTATATGGACCCTCAGTGCCGAGCCCCCTCTGGAATGCGAGACTTGCCTATGGTGTACTTGGGTGGGATCTGCATAGGGTTCAACAGTGTGAATCATTAGATAATGGTCAAACATAGTAAACATCTTAATAATAGAAAATAACGGTGTAAAAAATAAACCAATATAATAGATAAAGGCTTGACCAGCCCTGGTACTAGTATGCACGCGTAACGGTTGAACCCTTCTATGGAGGCAGCTCAGGCAAAGTAGCAAAGGATGCGTCCGCGCCATGTCCGGCTCCTTGCCATCATTTTACTCCTGGGGTGTTGTTCCAGTCCTGAGACATCTTGACCAGAGATTTCCTTGCTTGTTGGGTGGACTGTATGTGCTGGCTCGGTCCTTAGGTGTGACAGCCGGAGTTATATTCAGGTCCTTCAGCAGTCTGACACCTTCTTCTGGTGTGAGGACTGTATGGTCTATTCCATTTTGCCTGATAGTCCCGTAGCGCTTCAGTGATGGGAGCAAATTATTTGCGTCTCTGGAGCGTTGTAGAAGAGAGATCAAGAAACAGCTTTACTCCTTGGAATTTGTCAGGTAAGTCCGTAGCATTGCTGGCGGCCTGCATGACACTAAGTTTCCCCCTCGATATGACGTCTCGGGGTAGCGTGGTCGGGAGAAATTTTGGTCACGGTAGACGATGAATGCGGTCTAGCCTGCCATCTTGTTCAGATAACCAGGGCTTGGAATAGTTCCAGAGCATACGCTTGTAGGTCCGCAGGTTTAAACACTTCTGGTATGTCGATCTCTGTCTTAAAATCGGCAATTTTAGCAGTGAGTGATGACAGTTGGGCTTTTATATTTTCATAGGCAGCAGCAAGAGTGTTATGTGCCGCGATGATTTTGTCCGTCTTTTCCTTGAGGTGAGCTGTACATTCGCCAATGGCTTGGACATTTAATCTGACGTCTTTGGTTAATTTGGCGAATTCTGCTTGGAGTGTGGATTGTAAGGTCTGTAGCATTCTTTGCACTGCCGCTTCTGTAATTGCCACACCTGAGCAGTGGAAATCGAAGTGTTGTCGCTCGTGTCTGAGTAGGCTACAGGAGACGACGGGTCTCCAGCACCATCTTGGGCCTTGTATGTTGGCGACATCAGAGCTGCAACTTTCCTGTTTGTTTATTTCAGCTTTGTTTTTTTAGACGATTTCTGTACCATGGTATTCTAGCTTGTAGTGGAGCCCAGTGGATGTGAATAGGGGCAAAAGATTGTAGACTAATCACTTAGCTCGGAGGAGCTAACGGCTCACACGACCATCGCAGTGAGCTGCCAGGCCACACCCCCCTGGAGCTACTGTTTTCTAAAGATCCAGACTCACCTTTTAACGTTGAGACCGATAGCATTATTGCACGTGTGCCCATTAGACACATGTCAGACTAATCACATTACTAGATTAACGGTTTCCAGAATCTGACAGCCATTTATTCCTGGAGGACAGGTTCCCTTCATTCTTAGTATTTACTGCCCTGTCATTTGAAAGTTGGTTGTTGTTTTTAACTTTTCTTGCAACAGCTAGTTTAATGTCACCAACCTATGTTATTACGTGGAGGAAGATATTTGCATTCCTCGTCTATTAATCCATAAAGCATTAAATTAAGAGTCATTGCAGAAAAGGGTGTCTGGATCCCCAAAATAGAAGCTTTTAGTCTAAACCATGTCTAAAGAAACCATCGATAAATATAGGACCTTTTATGCCGTCTGTAATTTTCTTGACTTTCCACATTATTACCAGTAACAAGATACTGCGAGAAAGCATATTTCATTGAAATACTTGTGGATATTCCACAAGCCCTGGCTTTTTAAAGATCAGCTTCATACTAATTTGCTATCTCTTTTTCATCAGCAGAGTATATTCCTATTCTGGGAATGACCTATGCCTTCTAAAATAATATTTAGTCATTGTCTTGAAACCAACAGCAATTTACGCACGTGGTATGTCTGGTGATCTTTAACTGTAGCTACTGGTAGGTCAGACATTTTCACAGCTGTCAGATAACAACGGTATTAGGGATCCCTCTCCCCTCAAATGAACGCAGGTCAGCCTGAGTTAATAAAATAGATATCAGGGCTCGTGTAAGACAATTGCAAACTAGCCCTGAAAACAGATCTCCAATTCCTTAGATTTCCACATTCATACACATGTTGAGAAGATTCCAGGAGTATGAAAATATACTGAATATGGTGAGTCAAAATCTTTTTAAAGATGTGACTATCTCACACCATGACAGAATAAACTAAACAAAAGATGCAAACAAAAAAAAAACATTACAAAAAGTATATAATCTGATAAAAGCAGCAGTAACATCACTGCCTTAGAACTGCGACCACCTGACCAGTAAGTGTCCTTGGGCAAGACACCGTACGATATACATCCATCTACCAATTCATAGATTGCAAGCTTCTCCTCCTCTAAATATCCCCTTTCTATAATTGCAAAGTGCTATATTTATACTAATATAACACTGCTGTAGCTGAAGAAATAAATCAATTTGGAACCATCATAGGTCACCTCATAAAGAGTAGAAAAGACCTTGTTAGGGTCAAGTTGTCAAATGACTGAATTTGAAACATTAGTCAACTTTTGAGCAACTGTATCCAGCCTGTCTGCTTTCGTGGAAAACATGGAAATAAAAATAGTTCTATTTAGTTTGAAATAAAAACATATTTTGATTGTAGACAAGGAGGATTAATGTTGAGACTAGGACAGCGTGTGCAGGGATATTATCTTATAAATATGTAGGGATTGTATAGTAACCACAAGTCTTGTTCTTTGTTAAGGGTTGTGTGAGGTGAATGAGGCAGATATACAGCTTCTATCTGAACAATGTTACAGCAATAAAGAATGAACATAAACATGTATTGAACCACAACAAGTGAATCAACTTCTTAAGGAGTTACTCCAAGCACATGGCCACTCAGTGATTTGAAGTGGTCATGGTGCTTGGAGTCAGTATGTAGAGTGTTTCAATATGAAACACAGAAAATGCACTTTGTTGCTGGAAGTGTAACTCTACCACTCCCGGTGACATCTGCCGGCCACGAATGAGAAAAAAATTTCAATCTGGGCATCTGTTGTCAGTACCCATTACATACTACCAGCCGACGAATGACGGTGGCACACATTTAAAGAAGAGCTGACACTTCTCTGGAATTTATGCCATCAAATTAAACACTATTGCCTATAACCTGCGATAATATATTTTTTTATTTTTCTTTTAATTTTCTGTTAGAGATTAAGCCAAGGATTTCATAATCCAGTTCAGAGTAGAAGCAGTTTGTCCACCAAAAATTCATGTTAACTCATACTTGAACAATCAGTTCCGAAATGATCTAATCTGTAGACTCCACCAGTAAGACGATTCAGAATTGAATCATTCGACCATTACCAGGAATTATATTTGGACAAATCACCTAAAACCTTTACACATATCTGGTTCAGACAAGGCCAAGCCGGAGCAAACATTGTAAATGGATAACAGAACAAGGGGTGGAGTCAGCGCTAATCAGGAAGGCAGCAGTCCCAAACAAGGACTCCCTCTAATGTCCCTGGAAATCAATGGTAAAAGCAGGAGAATGGGGGGATGGGTCTGCGCCAGTGTGCACAATAAATAATAGTATTGAGTCCAATAGGATCTATATTGTCGTTTCCAAAGTTCTACTTTTAGCGATATCCAGAAGGTGTCGGTGGCATGAAGGGTAATCCAAATATGTGAAAATAGAAGAGATCTTACTTACAATTAGCAGAGCTTAATCCAGCTCTGGTGTGAATGGCTTACAGCGGTATTATCCCCGCTTGCAGGATATGCGGCAAGTGTCCTCTTCTTTGTAGTGACAGGTAACCAAGTTGGAAATAAAAATGGAGACAATAATGGTACAGTATGTTCCACACGTATAGTAAAAAAATATAAAATATAATAGATACACTCACATTCTGTAGAGCTTTGACTAGCTCTAGTTGGTTAGGCATACAGCGGTATCATCCCCGCTTGTAGGATATAGGATGAGTGATCTTGACGAGAATATCAGGAGCTCGGAGAGAAGATAAAACAGCGATAGTGCTCTCAATAAAATCTTATTAATAAAATAAAATAATAAAATATACTTGTGACGGAACGCTGGCACTCCGACTGAGTACCTCCGCCAATCGATGCTCCTAGCGCTTGCCGAGGACTCCAAGCACTCCAACCGACACCATCAGCACTGCAGACCCCACTTCCAGCGATGCAACTGTGCTGGGGTCTCTGCTGTCTCCACCCACCCTGGACCCAAGGCCAGGATCCAGCTTCCAGTGGGTGAACCTCTCTTTCCCCAGAGAGCAGGAACAAGCTCTTAGCAGAACTTAGTGATCATACCCTGGGGAGTATAGTGATTATAGCAATCCGCAGAGTGTATTTCTCCAATCCCCAAACATGAGCCAAGGCTTAATGCTGGAACAAGACTGATTTACTGGCACACAGAACTCACAATTTATGCAACACAAAACTCCTCCTCTGGGCCAGGCTAGATAATTGAGTTTCTACAATACACAAAGCTCAATTATCTGCTGGCCAGAAATAATACAGTTTCATAAAACACACAGGGACCCCAAAACATGCAATAACCCCATAAAAAGTATATCCTTGGAACCGGGGGATCTGGGTGAACCACATATCCAAAATTCACCCAGATCCGTTCAGTACTTTGGAAAATACAGTTTAATGCAGATTCTGCAGAACATATACAGGCTAAATGAAAAATAATCACTTTATAATGTGTCCCCTGCTGTATAGTCCAAAACCACTGCACGATGTCTCTGTGCACCAAATACTGGCAAGATGGCACCGTGTTGAAAAGTCCAAAAACAGTGTCTGTGAGTTAAAATGTCCGCCATCCATTGTTCTCACCATGTGCTTCTGATACAGGAAATGGTGGCCACCCAGTAACTCCACAGTATGTCCCCAGATGGTTCTTAAAGGGCCAGCAGCAGCACAACACAAATCCATTATGCCCAAATCATGTCTTTAAAGGGCAATACATCCCAGGGGCCATAGTCACAGGGCAAGAGGCGGGCAAGCAGTCCTCTCCAGGCACAAGTGGCGAAGGGCACTTCGTCACAATACTCACAATGTATAGGGCAGGCTAACTGCTCTATGTAACAGCGTAGGTGGTACGCATTTGGATATTTTTACTTTAGTAAAAATATCCAAACGCGTTTCGCCAGTATAAGGCTTGCTAAAGCCTTATACAGGCGAAACGCGTTTGGATATTTTTACTGTTTTATATACTGTTAATAAAAAGATTTTGGTCATTTTTACATTTAAACCATCATCTTTTTTGTTACCTGGCTTTTTATATACGTTTTATATACATTTTATACTATATACTTCTTTTATTATTTTTAACTCCTGCATACTATACTCCAAAGAATCCTAGGTGGGGATTATACCACCTACGCTGTTACATAGAGCAGTTAGCCTGCCCTATACATTGTGAGTATATTTTATTATTTTATTTTATTATTAAGATTTTATTGAGAGCACTATCGCTGTTTTATCTTCTCTCCGAGCTCCTGATATTCTCGTCAAGCTCACTCATCCTATATCCTACAAGCGGGGATGATACCGCTGTACGCCTAACCAACTAGAGCTAGTCAAAGCTCTACAGTATGTGAGTGTATCTATTATATTTTATATTTTTTACTATACGTGTGGAACATACTGCACCATTATTGTCTCCATTTTTATTTCCAACTTGGTTACCTGTCACTACAAAGAAGAGGACACTTGCCGCATATCCTGCAAGTGGGGATAATACCGCTGTAAGCCATTCACACCAGAGCTGGATTAAGCTCTGCTAATTGTAAGTAAGATCTCTTCTATTTACACATATTTGGATTACCCTTCACACCACCGACACCTTCTGGATATCGCTAAAAGTAGAACTTTGGAAACGACAATATAGATCCTATTGGACTCAATACTATTATTTATTGTGCACATTGGCGCAGACCCATCCCCCCATTCTCCTGCTTTTACCAAACATTGTAAATGCAGAGGACAAATAGAAACATTGTTTAATTCCTCATCTTCTCTGTCTGCTCTTTCTATACCCAGGGCCAGATTAAGAGCCCAGTGGGCCTGGTGCTGACAATTATGACGGGCCTAATTACAGAATCATATCGACCAAAAACAGTAAAACACTCGCAAGCATCATGTATCTGATGGAGATGGTGCTGGAGAGAAAGAAAACAGCAGCTATAAGAAAAGGCTAATCTCTCTCTAATTTATGTTTTCATCTTTCAAGTAAATCCATAACCCCGAACATGAATTCATGACCCTATAGTGTTAACACCACCATCTAGCCCCCTGGGCCCCTCATGCCTCCATAAATATAGCAAAATCTTACTATATTCAAGCCCAAAGCTGTTAGACTCATAAAACAAGCAGTCTGCTGACATCATTAGAAGTGGTGGCCTGATCCAAGCACAGTGCTTCCCTATAGGATTGGCTGAGACTGACAAAGAGGCAGATCAGGGTCAGAGCCAGCATGATTCAAACGCAGCCCTGGCCAATCAGCATCTCCTTATATAGATGAATTTAATTAATGAATCTCTATGAGGAAAGTTCAGTGTCTGCATGCAGAGGGAGGAGACACTGAATGTTTGGATGCATTTTAGGCAGCCATGACCCAGGAAGGATCTCTAACAGTCATCTAAGGTGTGGCCAGTGAAGTTATCACTAGGATGTAATGTAAAGACTGCATGTTCTCTGTGTTTACAGCAAAAAGCCTGACGGTAATGATTCTACTCACCAGAACAAATTCAATAAGCTGTAGTTGTTCTGGTGACTATAGTGTCCCTTTAACTATATTCATTGTCAGCCAGTCCACACACGTTTGTTCCCATACATCCCACTTAAGTTTCCATACTTAAGTAAGAGTATGTGAAAAGTAGTTAGGTTTGCCACCTTTCTTGGAAAAAAAGGAGTGACATAAGAGAAAATGCTGTAAAATCACCAAAAAACTACTTAGTTTGATTCTGCTGTATAGATGGATTCCTCCCAGTGCTCCTATGTCTTCCAGTGTCCTCGTGACTCAGTGCCCCCATGTGTCGATTACTCCAGGTCTCAGTGTTCCTATGTATCAGTGTCTCAGTGCCCCATGTCTCCCAGTGTCATGTCCCCAGGTCTCCCAGTGATCCTATGTATCACAGTGTCTCAATGCCCCATGTCCCTATGTATCCCAGGGCCCCTATGTCACTAGGACATTAGGAAGATGGGGAGACCTCGGGACACGGAGAGACCTAGGGACACGGAGACACAAGTGACACTGGGAGACTAGGGGACTCTGGCTGGGACACATGGGGACAATGGGAAAATAGGGGACACTTGAAGACATGGGGACACAGACACCAGGGACAAAGACACAAGAGACACTGGCTGGGGGACATAGGGACATTGAGACATGGGGGCACTGGGAGACATGGGGACACTGAGACACCAGGGCCACAGACACTAGGGACACTAGCTTGGAGACATGGGGACATTGTGACACTTGAGGCAATGAGAGACATGGAGGCACTAGGAGACATGGGGACAGTGAGAGACTGGGAGACTAGGGGGCACTGAGACACCAGGGACACTGGCTGGGAGACATGGGGACACTGTGTCCCCATATGTCTGTGTCATAATATCTCCCAATGTCCCTTAGTGTCTCAGTGTCTGCTATAATATCTCCCAATGTCCCTTAGTGTCTCAGTGTCTGCCATAATGTCTCCCAATGTCCCTTAGTGTCTCAGTGTCTGCCATAATGTCTCCCAATGTCCCTTAGTGTCTCAGTGTATGTCTCCCAATGTCCCTTAGTGTAGTGTCAGCCTTTCCCCCCATCCCTTACTTCCCTGAGCTGTAGGCTGTCTCTGCAGGGTGGGAGTTGCTGTCTGGACTCTCTGTAGCAGCACCCCTGCAGATCAGTGAGTATAGATAGGCAGGGAGGGATATGCTGGAACTTCCTATCCCTGCCTGTCTCCACACACAGCGACCCCTACTGGCCAGTGCTGGTATTGCAGAGTAATCTCTTGTTTATACTGAGAAAAATACCAGCATTTGTATTGCCAGTATCACTGCAATATTGACACCAGCCAGGCAGCCTCAAATACTGGCTGTGCCAATAAAATAAAAGCCAGGTGGAATCCCTAAGAGTAGTGTGTGGAAAAAAAAATGTAAAAAAAAAAAAAAAAAATTTTTTTTTTTTAAATCAATGGGCCTATTCCATGGGCCTGGGCCTGGAGCTGCAGCTCCATCAGCCCCTATGTTAATCCGGCCCTGTCTATACCGACTGCCCGGAGCAAAGGACAGCGCTTACAAAGATTGACAGGGAACTCAGATAGAGGTGCCCAGTTACAGGATAAAAAGGTGTGAATTTCTAAATTTTCTGCATTGTTAAAGGGACACTATAGTCATCAGAATAACTTTATCATAATAAAGCAGCTTTGATGTATAGATCATGCCCCTGCAGTCTCACAGTTCAATTATTAGAAATTTATTACTTTGTTATACTGTTATACTTTGTATACAGCCCTCGTCACACCTCCCTGCATGTGACTTACACAGTCGCATTGCACCATAACCACTACACCAAATGACCCTTTAATTCCAAAGGTCATGACAAAAGGAGCCACCATAATTTGTTAATTAATTTCACACTAAAAGCACATAGATTTCATATACTGCCAGCAGCACCTTATGCCATTACCAATATGTGCAGAGTTTATAAACACCTTAAAACGACATTTGGTAGTACTATTCTAGTCCATGGGGCGGATGGGTTACTGGACGAAACACCATCACAACGCAGGCTATGCCTTTATGGTACAGGAATAATTAAAGCTATTTATGAGAGGACAGAGAAGGTTGTTGTTTGTAGATCAGATAATATATTTTTCTACTCTTTACAAGCATCTTATGAATTTTATCTCTCAGGATTATGCTAGGAAACATGAAAAATATCAGGTGAGTAACTTGTGGTCACTATACCCCTATCTAAAGGAATCAGTATAAAAATAAGAAGTTTTTGAGGCTGTGTGAGTGCCGTTGGCTCTCAAACGGCATGGTTTGAAGCCTTCATGACACACAGCTGGCAGAATTAAAGCTTATTTAAGTGATGACAAAAGATGGCTGTTTCTGCTCTGGATCACCAAACGCTTTGTGATTTTCCCATTCATGCTGTAAGCATGCTATATTTTGTGGTTTATACATAGGAGGAAAGGCCCTGGGAAGAGCACAGTTCACAATGATTTCTGATGTTAAGCTCCAACAATTGAGTGTTTTTCAGGTGGTTATCCCCCGCCTCAGCTGCTGGCCAGAGAGCTCAGTGGAAGTGAGACCGTAACTGTCTAAAGGCACACACTACACTGCATCATATTATCGGCACATTATAGACTTTAAGGTCTAGTGATTGCTTAAGGGTACGCTCTAAGCAGCCAACAACGTGTATGCATTTTATGTTTTTGGCCTTAATACAGCATTTTTTTTGCATGCTTAATATTATGTAGTTTTTGTAATACTTAAATAACATGTTTTGTAGCATTCTGCGAGTTAACCCTGTGTCATCACTGTCATTACTGCAGTATGTGATGGCAGAGTTTAGGCACATCCAACACTAAGACCAGAGAGATGATCTACAAACAGGCACCATTAGTGGAAGAGAATACCCAGGCAAAAAATGCACTACACGGCAGAGATGCCTGTTATCTCAGAGTGTAGGTTACTGATGGAGGGACGGTAGGTCCATATGGTGAGGTGCTTTTGTAATATATGTGAATTGAGCACTTACGGCAGATCTTCCAGTTTAGAAGCCTCGTGTCTGGGATCCAGCAAATCATATCCACACTCGTTATAAATTTCTAGGTAGGAGATATGTATAGAGTATACTTTACTGCTGTCCTGGAACATAAAAACACAAACAGATTATTAGAGACGGCTTGGCATCCAATCTCAATCACGGAGATTTTGGAAATAATTGACATTGCAGCATCAAAGTAATGGACTAATAGCTTCACACTTAGAAGCAGGCTAATGACACCAACCGGTGTGCCGAGAAGGGTTCTGAGAATCGTTTAAATGGGAGAAAGTCTGATGCCTCATACTTTAAAAATGCATCTAAGCATTTTGGGCTACAATAACTTTGAGTTGTTCTGTTTCCTGATTCCCAAATCCATTACCAACCTTCTGAAATTGTTCAAAAATGTAAGACAAGGTCCGAGGGATAATTCCTCTGTCACTATAACGCTCTGCTCCCCCGGTGATTGTAAAAGTCTTTCCACTGCCCGTCTGTCCGTAAGCAAATATGGTGCCATTGTACCCTGTAAGAACACTGTGGAGAAAGGAGGGATAATTAGCACAGCACCAAGGGTTAAAATACATCACTCACTCCTTACTGAAAATAAACTGCAAGTTTGATAAATACATTTATTATTTAATTCTTCTACTTGAAATATTATGAGCATACACATTGCAGCAGTTATTATCACATCCTCCGCCACATGTGCGAGGATATTCTCTGATTCAGAGAGGGGGCGATGGAAATATCCTTTAATTTAGGAAAAACGACATGAGTGACTGTGGGTGGTGAAAAAAGAGATGACTTCCAGAAATACAGCCACCGTACAGTATTACCATGCATCTTGCAATTCGATTACACCTCACAAGCTAACATTATAACAAACAATTAGAGAAAAAATAGAGAAATAAAAGTCGATGCTGGCATTCTTCATTGTGCAATGGCTCCCAATACATGTTAACTGGTAGAACTGGAAAAACTCAATTAACCGTCTAAAACTTCACAGGGGAGACTGCCTGATCAAATCGAAAGAAAAATAACGTTTTTAATAAATGCACAATAAAGATAATCTGTTTTCATTCTCGGTCTCATTGCATGACACTCAAACAGGGAAGTGCAGTGTTTTGCGTTTGAACTGATGCAGTGTTCTCGCCGTGCCCACAGTATGCCCAGGCTCATACAAATCCTCCATTAGCCCACAGTATGCCCAGGCTCAACAGAAATCCTCCACTAGCCCATAGTATGCCCAAGCTCGTTAGAAATCCTCCACTAGCCCACAGTGTGCCCAGGCTCAATAGAAATCCTCAACTAGCCCATAGTATGCCCAGGCTCATTAGAAATCCTCCACTAGCCCACAATATGCCCAGGCTCGTTACAAATCCTCCATTAGCCCCCAGTATGCCCAGGCTCATTACAAGTTCTCCAGTAGCCCCCAGTATGCCATGGTCATTAGAAATCCTCCACTAGCCCACAGTATGCCCAGGCTCATACAAATCCTCCATTAGCCCACAGTATGCCCAGGCTCATTACAAATTCTCCAGTAGCCCACAGTGTGCCCAGGCTCAATAGAAATCCTCAACTAGCCCACAGTATGCCCAGGCTCAATTGAAATCCTCCACTAGCCCATCGTATGCCCAGGCTCATTAGAAATCCTCAACTAGCCCATAGTATGCCCAGGCTCATAAGAAATCCTCTATTAGCCTATTGTATGCCCAGGCTCGTTACAAATCCTCCATTCGCCCACAGTATGCCCAGGCTCCTTAGAAATCCTCCAATAGCCAACAGTATGCCCATGCTTGTTAGGACTCCTTCAATAACCAATAGTATGCCCAGGCTTGATAAAAATCCTTCAATAGCCAACAGTATGCCCAGGCTCGTTAGAAATCTTTCACTAGCCCACAGTATGCCCAGGGTCGTTAGAAATCCTCCAAAAGCCCACAGTATGCCCAGGCTCGTTAGAAATCCTTCAAAAGCCCACAGTATGCCCAGGCTCATTATAAATCCTCCAATTTTCCACAGTATGCCCAGGCTCGTTAGAAACCCTCCACTAGCCCATAGTATGTCCAGGCTCATTAGAAATACTCCACTAGCCCATAATATGTCCAGGCTCATTAGAAATCCTTAAAGGAACACTATAGACACAAGAACAACTACAGCTTATTGCATTTGCTCTGGTGAGTAGAATCATTTCCTTCAGGCTTTGCCAGTAAACACTCTTTGTTTCAGAGAAAAATGCAGTGTTTTACATTGTAGCCTATGGATCCCTCCCCCGGACCACTTCTTAGATGGCTGCTTCCTGAGGCAGTGCTGCACAGTGTCACTGCCATTCAGTGTCTGCGCCCTCTGCATGGAGACACTGAACCTTTCCACATAGAGGTGCATCTCTATCAATGTATCTCTATCATGAGATGCTGATTGGCCAGGACTGTGTTTGATTTGTGCTGGCTCTGCCCCTGATCTGCCTCCTTGATAGTCTCAACCAATCCTATGGGGAAGCACTGTGATTGGCTCAGACCACCACTTCTGATGATGTCAGCAGACAGAGGCAGTTCACAGGCAAACAGGGGCAAAACCAGCAGCTGCAGACTTGCATACAAGTAAGATTTACTATATTTACAGAAGCAAGAGGGGACCAGGGGGGCTAGATGGTGGTTTGGACACTATAGGGTCAGGAATACATGTTTGAGTTCCTGACCATATAGTGATCCTTTAAATAATGCAGGAGATTTATCAAAGTGTTGCTCACACTTTTGGATCTAATTGTCAGCGAATATTAGACATAATGTCAGGGTTTTTTCATCTTTTGCTCGTATTGCGCCCCAACCATCACTTGTAACAGTACACCAATGTACGGATTTATCAGTCTTTCTGACACTTTTTCCAACAGAAAAGTATTCCTTCACTACTCTTTTTTTTGCCTTTCTAGCAATGGCGGTCTTCTGAAATGGATATTTCTGTGAAAACGGGTGGAATTTACTAGATGAAAACAGTCACATTTTAGATAATTTTTAGAACTATTTAATAAGTGGGATCAGAATAATATTGGAGTTTGACCATAACTTTTTAGAACCGTTTGATAAATACCCCCAACGTTTGTGTTTGTTCTGGATTTTTTCATGTCTAAAATGGGCTCTGAAACCATTTGCTAAATCTTTTAATATAAATGTAAAATAAAATGATGTTTATCTTTAAATTATCACGTTCTAGGCATTTTTCAATGTTTTATTTCATGGTGTAAATTCCTGAGAAATGGCCATTCCCCTTCAATGCATAAAAAACGTAAGCCTTTCACGGACCCCCTGAACTCTATGGACCACTTGAAACTCCTCTTAGATACATACGGAGCCCTATCAGACTACAGGGTTAACCTCACTAAGTCGATGGCACTGCCATTTCTCCTTCCGGCTCAAGACAGGGCATTAATATATGACAGTCACCACCTGCCAACCACCACAGACAATATACCATATCTAAGGGTCAGACTCACAGCGCAGCACGAACAGTTGCATGAGACCAACAACTCCCCACTAATTCGTATGCTCCTGAGGGACCTGGAGCTATGGACAGACAAACCCATTTCATGGCTAGGCAGACTCCATTCGGTTAAAATGAACATCCTCCCCAGATTGTTGTTTATGTTCCAGGCCCTACCCACACCAATTAAGAGAAGCGACCTATCCACACTCCAAAAAGCGATAGACATGTTCATTTGGCAAAAGAAGCGCCCCAGCATAGCTAGGAAACTATTATATCGACCCAAAGACAGGGGGGAACTGGGGCTACCGAACATGTACTTATACTACCTGGCAGCACAGACCGCACAAATTGCATATTGGCACTCTGCACCAGACACCCGAAGATGGGTGGGGCTTGAATCCTCACTAATGGTGCAAGACCTACCACAGTTCTATCCCTGGTTACATAAAACACATAGAGCACTCTCAAGGATAGCCTGCCCGGCTATAACAAACTCCTTAAGAATATGGGATCAGGTTGCAACCAAATACTCATTAAGCAGGTTCCTCTCCCCAATGTCTCCCGTATTTAGAAACCGATCCTTCCCGTCTGGAATGAAAGCAGAGGACTTTGCTGGGCTGGAGAGCGAGTCTCCACCTGTACAAAAATAACCAAATAATCACATACAACCACCTTAAGGAACAATACCCCCTAACAACCAGGGACTTCTTCCGCTGCATCCAGACACGTGACTTTGCTAGCTCCAAAGAAGTCAGGGAGACAGCCACCCTCCCTCTCACCTGGTTTGAAAATATCTGCTACCAGGAAAAACACCCCAAGGGGAAGCCAAAGAGTGGAAGAGCTCCGATACATGGACCAGTGGGAGGCGGACCTGGGGGAAACACTAGAGGGATCCGACTGGCAGGACATTTGGGAAGCTACAGCCTGATCATCTATATGTGTTACCCTCCAGGAGCAGTCATTTAAAATGCTCTTCAGATGGTACACCACCCCAGTAAAGCAATTACGTATGCAGATCACCTCCACAGACTTATGCTGGCACGGTTGCGGGGAACTAGGCTCAAAGATAATGCAGAGACCATTACAATTAGACCAATGGGCCTGCCTCCTCTCCAGGCCCACAGAGGGCCTTACACGCCCGGAGCAATGATCTACCTGGCGGCTCGTAGGGCAGTGGCACAAAACTGTCTGTGCCCGGAAACGCATCCCATCACACTGGCCTTAGTGAAACTGAAAGACAACTACCTTATGGACAGGTTGACATCCCTGGTCAGGCACACCACTAAAAAATTTGGCAAAGTGTGGGAGCTGTGGGAGCAATACCAGGAGAACGGGGCGGGTGGACAAGGGAACTGAACGCACAAGCAGGGTTTTCAAAGAAAAAAAAAAAAAGATCACACGACAAACATCACTTGGACTACAGAGGCAGACACGCTAACTTACTTTATTACTGTTTTTAAGTTTGTATTATATATCGTTTGTTATGAAACCGTTCATTATCATTAGAATATAAATACACCAACTGAAGTGTCATATAAAACCACCGTAAGGTCTAAAAGATAAACTAGGACACGTAACATCAGCAACCCTCATGATGGCAGACAGACGGCCTCAAAGTTTAGGGATATCAATATGCATGATTGTACTAACGCTTCACCCTTCCTTTCTGTACAATCAAACTGTCTGAAAATGTAATGTGGCATCTGCGTAAGCTTATACACTGTCACAAATATGCACTTTTTAGTGAAAAGGAAAGAATGAAAAAAAAATAATAATCATAATAATGGCCACACGACAAACACATTTGGACTACAGAGACAGACGCACTAACTTACTTTATTACTGTTTTTAAGTTTATATCATTTCCCATTCGTTTGTTATGATATTGTTAATTATCATTAGAATATAAATACACCAACTGAAGTGCCATATGAACCCACAGTAAGGTTTAAAAGATAAACTAGGACACGTAACATCAGCAACCCTCATGATGACAGACAGCAGGCCGCAAAGTTAAGGTATATCAATATGCATGATTGTACTAACGCTTCACCCTTCCTTTCTGTACAACCAAACTGTCTGCAAATGTAATGTGGCTTCTGCGTAAGCCTATACACTGTCGCAAATATGCACTTCTTTTTGGTGAAAAATAAAGAATTTTTTTTTAAAAAAACAGAAACAATGTAACGACTGCTGAGAATTCTGCACTAAAAGACCAGGAACTAGTAATGTAGTGAGCTTTATGCACGTTCTAGGTCCAGCCTGAACACGGCCAGAAATAAACCGAGTAAAATGGATATTGTCAGCCACAAGAAGCAGATGGCAATAGAGGTCAGGAAGTTCATTTCAATTGTGGAAAAAATAAA